GGGTTGGTTTAGGGTTGGTTTAGGGTTGGTTTGGAGTCGCTTCACGGTGGGCTTGGGGTTAGTTTACGGTTGGTTTACGGTTGGTTCAATATTTTTTGTTGGCTCAGCGTTGGTTTGGGGTTGGCTCGTGTTGGTTTAGGCAGGGTTTAAGGTTGGTTTAGCGCCGTGCTGGGGTGGTGTAGGGTAGGGTCAGTTTAGGGTTGGTTTAGGCTTGGGTGGTTGTCTTAAGGCTGGTGTAGGGTGGGCTGGGGGTGATCTAGGGTTTAGGGTTGGGGTGTTTACGCAAAAAGCCATAGGCTAAAGCGCGCGGGTCACAGTCGCCCAAACTGCTGATGGTTTGGAATGCGATGTCGGATTCTCTCAGTCCTCACAGGCCTCAAGCGCACACCCTTGGCTGCACGGCTTCCCTATACGCGCAAAGCCGCGTGCAACAAAACGCAAGGGGCTTTAGAAACAGGGGCCAGACAAGCATCGCGGAGCAGGTATGAGATATTGGCTCAACCCACGACCCTCTTTGTTCCACCGGTCATGGGCGCGGGTGACCCCCTGGCAGTCGTGCAGTTGACTCTTTCGCCCGGCATCGGTCATGCGCGCAAAGCTCTCCCTCGAAAGGTTTGGGTTGCTATGCACACACAAACAAGCACCCCTTGCAGATGTTGCAGGTCCTGTTGGGAATGGTTGTTTCGCACCCTTGAGAGGTCTTGGCCTCGGCCCCATTGTTGCTTCTTGGCCCAAGTCTGGTGTACACCACACAAATTGTGTCCAGATAGCGCTTCACGATCATTCGGTCAAAAATAGAAACGACTTTTGGACATGGGTGGCCTTTTGAAAAAATAGAGGGCCCTGGTAAATGGAACAAAACCCATCTAGACCAGCGCCATTTATGTTTAACCAAAACCTAAAAAGGACACCTATGCTTTTGGAGATGCGCTCCACCTGGAACTCCCAGTTCCAACGAATGCAGCCAGAGAGCAAGTACAGGATGATCGGCCACCAAAGCCATCGCAGCAGCTGGACGTCGATACTTATTTGCCTGACGGATGGGCGGGTTCCCCAATGGCATGAGCCCCACAAAGAACGCGGGTTGCTGAGTGTTGATTTCGCCCTCACAAAGAATCTCTTTCAGACTTCAAAAGGGGTCTGAAAAGGGACAAAGGTGCACATTGAATTCTCTGATGTCCAAAAGAGGAAGCACATTATCCTATCCGGGTCTGCCTTTCGCCTTTCAGGAAAATCACTGGAAACACTTGCCTTCCATGTCGGGGACCCTATTGGCAGGAAATCACAAGGCAAGCGGTGTGAAACAAAAGTTGGATGAATCCCTAGGATCCTTTCTTGGATGAAAGGAACCCATCCCTGGCAAGTGCGGCGAGAAGCGGATTTCTCCGAAGTTGCAAGCAACGGAAGCCAGAAGGGTCGCCGGCCCCCCCAACATCCCCGGCTTCCCGCCTGGAAGCAATGGCCATGATCGATGGCACCGGCTGCGGCGAATGCATCTCTCTGCATTGCAAAAGGCCAACGACCAGGAACCTCGGTCATAAGTCGTCCCCCACCCCCCCCCCGACACAGGGTACAGTCCCAACCAGACAAGACACATATGTCGAATATGTGCCGTAGGTTGTGGGAAGCATGTGAAGAACTTGTTCATTGGATCGTTTGATTGGCACAAGGGTAGAACATCTGCCGACAAAAATCACAACACAATGTGGTCGCCGGTCACCTGCTTCAGTTTTAGAGATGCCCTGCGCAAGCATACGGAAGGTGTCGGAGGCACTTTGAACAAAATGTGAAGTAGCAAGCTTGGTGAATCAAGGACAGAAAAAAAAAAAGAAGACACACACACACACACATCAAATCCAACCATTTTGTCGATGGCATTTGATTGGAAAATATTTCCGACCAAATGCCTTTAAAGGTCCAATTCCAAGTTTGGGAGGCACACCCTCAAGAGGTTTGGGTTGGGCTGCCATTCCCAATTAGCCTCCGTTCACTTGACGCGGATGCAAGATACCCCAAAAACACACAAGGCATGATAGACCATTCACGCCGCAACCGCAAGTTGGGCTGGGACGAAGTCCAAAAAAAAGAAACCTGTGTTGGGGGGGGCTTATACCCACAACCTAGGGAACATATTCGACATGTGTTTTCTTTCTCTGGTTGGGACTGTACCCTGCCAGACTGTCCCATGCTTCCGTCTTGCATTGAGACTTGTCCGTGCCGAATGTGTGCTCGGTGATCAAAAGGCTAGATTCCCCATGGTGACAACACTATTTCCTGCTCGCTGGGTTTCTGTTGTCGCAGGGCTTGAAGGAAACATCCCGAAACCACCTTTACAAGGGAACCCTGCAAAGTAGGTGACAATGAGCTTTTGACCTGACCCCGTTCGCGGTGTGGGGGTCAGCTAGCTGGTGGATAACCCTGGGCATGAGTTTTTGGATGATGTTTCTGTAAGGTTAAGTGGAAGCTACTGGCTTAGCAAAGTCGCAAATGCTCTTAGTGTCTCTGGTTCCAAAAACATTGTCTCTCTCAAGTCAATCGGATCACGCAAGCTGTAGGTCGCAAGCCATTTGTGTGAAGCATCCCCACGAGTCTTGTTGCAATGAGCCCTCACGCAGGCACCCTAATCATCTGGTTGGCCGCTTTTTGGACCCAAAATTTATCGGCGCGTGCCGTTGCAAGTGTAGAAAGAAGTCCATAGTTCTGGACTCCCCATAGTTCCCTTTCTCAATAACATGTTTCAGCTCAGCTTGTTTAGCTTCTCCCCACAAAAGCCACGAGAAGAATTGCAGGAGAGAAAGGTAAAAGGTAAGAGGGACATCTGGAAGGAACGTAATTTGCGCTTGTTGGCTTCCCTTCTAAGCAACGTGTGGGGGTCTGAATATCAGGATCCCCTGTTTGCTGCTTCTTTTGAGGGGCACCAAAAGGAAACGGTTGCCAATGGTAGAATTCACTGAAACATGTCCAGAATCGAAGCCCCCCCCACTGCTTTCAGTACCCTGTAACCGGAAGTTAAACAAAGGTGCCTGGGAAAATGAGAAAATCACGCCATCCGCTTTTGGTTCCTGTTTGCCCAAATCACTCCTCCTAACATAGCACTCAACAGGAAAAAGGCCCCTTGAGACACTCGAGCTTCCAGGTATATGGTGCCTGCTGCTTGAAGGGCACTAATGATCTGAGAGAGTTGGCATGATTAGCAACAAGCAGCTAAACTCCTTAGTCGCAACCCGAAATCCAGCAGCTTCATGAAGACTTCGACATTGCAGCCTCCCTTTGGCTTAGGTTAGTGGAGCTTAGAGTCTGTTAGAGGGTGCTTTCACATGTGTTCTCGGAATGTCAGCTTCAGGGTTGGTTGCCTCAGGAAATTACTTGTTCTAGAGGGTTCCTCCAACTTGTAGTTCGTGTCCTCCGGATGTTGGTCCGAAGGCAACACAACCAGGCGTTTCAATGTCTTTCACCACTGGACCAGCTTATTCCACCCCGATTTCTTTCGTTTGCCAGGCTGCAGTAGGAACCCAGCGCTGCACAAGAGCTGCTTGGCACAGCGCATGCCGAGATCTCTTTTTACTTCCATCTACTGGTACTAGGACGGGTTGGGCTGTTCTGCCAGATGTGGTGGTCTTTTGTACCTCTTTTTTGTGGTTTTTTCAGGGGAAACCCGACAGGAACCTCCATTTTGGGCGGCCCGTAAGAAAAACACACACAGAAGAGTACCGGGCTTCCCTTCTGCCCCTGAGATCTGGGGGCTTGGCCCCTTCGTGGCTGGTTTCAGCATGAACGACCCCCGTTAAAACGGGTGACGGGAACAGCAAATAAACGCACCATAAGCGAACTAGCTGCAATTAATTTCAGGAAACACCCGAATGCGTCTCGCCTGTGACGGGACAACCCTCTAAGATATCGCAAATTCCAAGAAGACTGCCGGTTCAGTGGTGTCTTGCAATTTGCTTGCTTCGCTAGGTACATGTTTCCATACCACTGCGCTTGTTTGCACTTTGCAGGGTGTCCTTCTTTCTTTTGGGAATCTATGGCTCCGGTACTTGTTAGAGGCCCCGCGACACTTTTAGGACCAGTCTTAGGTGACAATTGTGTTGCTCTGCCTGATCACCACTGACGGCACATCACTGACATGGTGTTCACCCCCGCCCAAATGTAGTAAGCTTGAGCCAATGCGCACGGAAAACCGCCTGGTTATACCATTGTACATTACTATGCATATATATATATATGTATATATATAATAGATATCTTTCGGAAAGAAAGGGGCGTCGGCATGTGCAAACACCTATCAAGAGATAAAAACAAATGATCTTACCACCCCCACAAATGCACACACAAAACCACAAACACACCTCCAGGTTTGGTCTATTTCAGTCTTTCCAAGAGGGTGTGTTTGAGGGCAGGGGGGCAAACGTTTGTGGGAGTGGCGTGTTTGGGGGCGGGTGGGGTGGGGAAGAGGGTATGATCAAGAGTCACAAGGAAAAACATCTCCAGACTTTTCAGGTCAGGCTCACATATGCCAAAACCATTGACATGACTGGTAATGCCTCCCCATCTGTAAAGTTTAGGGACAATGGGAATGCCATGCATAGGTATGCTCCCTTCATGACACGGCTGGGTCTGGCTAATCTCGCAAATCATCAATTGTGCTCCTTTTTCTCTTCTGCTTTGGATGGGTTGCGCATCGGGAGCATCTTTCGCTCTAAACTGCCGTGCGGACTCTTTGGCTGAGTCTAGTCGACCTCTGCCCAGCTCAGACACTTCCCAAAACTGAGGTCTGGCAACGTGGAAGATTGTAGTCATGCCGCCATCCAAAAGAAACCTGTACCATGTGTTTTCTGGCTTGTTTGTTTTTTCGGGAGCTTACCCGTTGAGCTGACTGCACAACGACTCTGGTCTTTACCAAATCATGGAAATGCCTACAACAAAAACATGGAGTTAGGAATAGTAGGCAAGCGGCCAGTATGTTTTAACAGGGCGGATGCCTTGGTTGCCTACTAGAACAACGGAATTGCTGGGCAAAGGGGCGACCCTTTCTCTGACCTATGGAAAGCCATCGCCATCGCCATCGCGGCTCCTCGGCCAGCTGACAGCGCTGCCCCGAGGGGCCAGCTTACTCCTCCGTCTTCTCCGATTCCAAATGTTTCATGTAGGCCTCACCTCATTCGAAAAGGCATGGCCTTTCAGAAGTGGGTGAGGTTCCTTCTTTCAGGGCTTTGGCCCCGTTCGGTGCTTTGCGGAACCTGCCTACCCACAGGGAACATGCATGCCAAGGCCCCATTTTGGGGGGTTTACCTTCCGCCCTTCCCAACAGTTGACATTCAGCAGTCAAAACTCCGCCGATGTTCCCCGCCACGGCTCTATATAACCAATCCCAACCGGAACCTTTCCAATGGCTGCCTCCCCCACGTCTGCGACTGTTCCTGCGAACCCCAAAGCCGCACCTAAAACCCATCGATCTCGTTTTTGATTGTGCCCTCTTTGTGTGGCAAAGGGAAACCAAAAGGAAAACCGAAGCCACGTTCGTAGCCCCCCGAAAAGACACACCAAGATGACTGGGTTGTTGCCATATCCCCAGCTAAAAGTTTACCTTTTAGTGGGGTAAATGAAAACCCCGCTAAGAAAAGACACAAACAACAAAAACTTAAGGGGATGGCTGAGAACCACCAAGACTTGGTACAGGGACTGATCCTTCGACCGGGCTGAGCCCCCTGCGGTCCATCAGCGAATTCACGTCCCCCGTAAACTTCACCTCGCCGGGTTAGCACGTGGTGCGCAGATTCCGCGCCGTGCGGATTTTTGCGGGGGGGGGGGGGGAAACAGGAGAAGCACAAGGGTTTTCGCTTTAGCCAAGTATATCTCAGATTTGCATAATTGGCTGGACTCAATAGAAAAACAACCGGAAACCCAACCAGATATGGCCAGCGCTTTGCCCAGGTGACTTTCACCGAGTTAACATCGAAGGCAACCCTTCCCACCTGCAATGGGAAACCAAGCGGATGCAGTTGCAAGTACTGAAACAGCGGCCACTTGACCTGCAAAATTCGAGCCAGGTAATTTATGTTGTATGTTGGTAAGCAGTTTGCTGGTATCCCGGAGATTTGGCCCAGTTTGCTCACCAAAAAAACATACCTGGATTAGACACTCGGCTTGGGAGACTTACATCAAAGTAGGCCACCACAAATTACCAGCCACGCAATCAACCTGCCCATCACCATCACCACCACCACCAGCATTATCATCATCATCATCATCACCACCACCCAGCATAATAATAAGAATAATCATCATCATTGTCATCATCGCCACCAGCATCATCCTCATCCTCATCCTCATCCTCATCCTCCTCATCATCATCATCATCATCATCACCGCCAGCAGCAGCAGCAGCAGCAGCAGTAGCATCATCATCGTCGTCGTCGTCGTCATCATCATCATCATCATCATCATCATCATCATCATCATCCACCATCAGCATCCTCACGATCATTACCGTCTTTGCATCCTCATCGTTATCTATTACCCTGAGGCTTCGTCGCCGTGAAGGGCAAGCGACAGGAATGCGCTGCGAGCGAGGTTTCCGGGCTGTTAAGTGGATCTGCCCAACGAGACGTCCAGAGCTTGACTTAGACGCGTACCCCCGCCGCTCCCGAAAGCGTTGTCTATTCAAAGCCTGTTGTACTGCTTGTTCAGGAGCGCGCTCTTGCCAGACGTCGGGCGCCAACCATCCTTCCATGTAAACCGCTCCTCCTGCTCATGGCCGTGGCTTGGCTCAAGGCCCCGCTGCGGCGCGGGCGGGCTGTGCCAAAAACATCTCCGGGGCATTCCTTTCGGGCTTCTGGGTGTGCTGGTCGCATGGGAAAATGAAGGACACCCCAAAGGGCAAAAGGGCAACTAGGCCAAAAGTTTGGCGGTGCCAGTGCGATTCTCTTTCCTTCTCTCTCAAATGGAATGCCTCTACGCTCAACCCTGCAGCTAGGATTTGAACCTGTGTCCACCATCATTTCAGTGAAGGGCAAAGACATATATACACGTGTATATATAATATATATATATATATATTGCATATGTTTAACCTTACAAAAAAGCTGCCCCAGGAAATCCTCCTGCTTCTTGCAACACAACCCTTGTTGTCCCAAACGACTTCGCCGCGTCGCCTTCACCAACCAGCCGTCGTCCTCTGGAGAGCTGTTTACCGTGGCAGGCTCGTCCTGGCGCGAGAGACGTTGTGTGCCTTTGACCTCAGTCGGGAATCGCGTTTCTGGCTTTGGGAATGAACCTACCCCTCCTCCAACAAACGTAGCATCTGCGGGAGTGTACTTGGAAGATCAGTTTCCTCTTAAATGAACCCCCTGATAGGTGCTATGTTCGTGGGAGGGAGGATACTGTGGACACAATCCTGCACTTGGCAAGTGGTTTAGGGTTTCAGCATCCCAACCTGGCGTAGACTTCGTGCCCACAGTAGGGATCCTGTGGGAAATCACCACTTGGATGGCGGTCATCACGACCCCTTCCCTGAACCAGCAAGTTGGAAGACGGACACTGGCACACAACCCATTTCAGAGCTGCACGTACGGAATTTGCCTACTGGGCTTTCTGAGTTGACTGCCTAGAAATTGTGTCTTTCTGTTTGACATGCACTGCTCACTTCCTGAGTGGATTGGCATAAACAAAAAGTCCAAACTGTTTGTTTACCGCTAACATTGTCTTCCCAAAAAGCTGAAGTGCGAAACGGAACTCGGGAAGTGAGACTAAAAGAAGACTCCGGGCCGGTTGGAAGGTCATGGCCGTGAATTGTTTGCGACGAAAAGGGCTCCCTCGAAAAAGTATGGCGCGCACGTGTGGGAAGCACTTGGGAAGCCATGGGTTTCAGGCTGTGGTTCCCATCCTAACCATACCTTCGCCACTTAGGGGAAGTTTTGGCCGCCGCCTTGAATTTTTGGAGGGACCACGAGTGATTGTGTAAGTTCACAGGGGCTTAAGATCTATGAGTACCACACAACAGGAAAGATACCTCAACAAAAAACAAAGGGGCGGGGCCCACAAGGCTTGGACCATGTTTTCGTGTGAACTACAGTAATGGAGGGTCTATGAAACAAAAGTAGCCATACCCCACTTGTTTTCGTGTGAAATAGAGGAGGGTCTATGAAACCAGTAGCCATAATTACCCTCTTTAGCCTTCAATTGGGGGCCCCGCAAAAATGGCTTGGGGCTTCGCCAGATCCCAGCCCATCCCGTGGAACCGCCTGCAGCTTTTCATTCACCGCGGTCACCTCGCAGACTTATCCCGCGGAGGACAATAGGAAAGATGGCGCAGCCCGTGTGAAACAAGGCGAAAGTAAATGAATCCATGCGTCTGGGTAAGTCAAGTGGATATCACTCCAGTTCTATGGGTACGTAAAGTAGAATCCACTTATATGGGTAAGCAAAGCGGATGGAACCCCATCCCCATTAAATGGTTAAGTAAGCATATCCCCATTTATACGGGTAAGTAAAGTGGCTGGCACTCCAACTATATGGGTACGTAAAGTGGATGAATCCATTCATTATATCGGTAAGTAAAGTGGATGGCACTCGCACTCGGTCTTCTTTGGGTATGTAGAACCAAGCGAAGGCACTCCATTTGAATGGATGGCACTCCTTTATATGGAGGGGATGACCCCTAAACCCTAAACCTAATATATAGATGGCACTCCATATATACAAACCCAAATAACCGCTTGTGACGGGTTGTAGAGGGCCCCAAGTTGATAACGGGATGTGCCTCTGCCGGATCACTTTAGGGGATGCCGCCAAACTTTGTCAATTCATCTGGTGTCTTTCGTCGGGAACCCAGAAACAGAGGTTGCCACAGAAAGTCGCGAGCCAAAGCAGGTCAATATTCTGTCACCTATCAACTGAGCTCCCTTCCGGGCCTCATACACACCCATGAGGGGCGCTCTAGTCAACCTGTATGCCCGTTAAAATACAAACAAACACACATATCAGCAAAGCCCCTTGGAAAATAAGCTCAGGTGATATCCCCAACAGCATGCGGTGCTCTTTCTAGTGCTCGAACCACCCCAGCCCTTGCAGAACCTTACCTCGGCGCCGCCCCGGACCACCCCGGAGCCAATCTGGGCTGAGACCCCAAAGCTTTCAGCTGTTGGGGGAAAAAACAACAACATATTTCCTGTAGTGATAGATTCCCTTTGAATCCAACAGGGGAAAACAACACATATTCTTCAGCAACTGAAAGCTGGCTAGAGTCTGAGTTGCTTTTGACCATCTCTGCGACCAATCCGACGGAATCCCCGTCTTTCTGTTTGGCCATGGGTCAAAAGCCAAATCGTACCCCCAGTGAACATCCCAATCCGCCCTAAAAATAGGTTCTAAAATGGGTGGTGAATTCACCTACCAACCAAAATGATACCAAACCGGTTTTGACCACCACAGCCATTTCGGGCCGTGCCTCGAGATCCAAAGGCGCGTAGACCTCCCCCACTGCCTTGACGCTCTCCAGGGTGCACAGCGTGGACTGCGCGGCTTCGCGACGGGGGGGGAGTGCGGGGGGGGCGGGGGGGGCAGGTTTCCGGACAAGACATGTGGCACAAAGATTCATGAATCATGTTCAGGGTGCTGATCATCTTTGTGGCTGGATGGCTCATTTGTTTTGTTTTGTACATATCTCAAATCTAGTCATCCGACCACACTAACATCCAAAAATGATGAAGGTCATTATCAATCTTTGGTGTGGTTGGATGACTATTTTAACATTTGACCAGGGCTGGGTCAAGCTCCGGGTTAACTGTGGTTTAAACACAGATCGTTGCAACACCCTCCCCTTTTGTTTTCCCAGGGGCCACGCTGCTTGTTCAATCCAACTTGCCCAAATATCGGGGAGCTCAAGCCGGACCAGGCAAAGGAATCTTAAGTTTCCTACCGTCTATTTCCTGAAAAGGGGGACCCAGAGCCAATCCCTTGGCCAACAAGGGTTCGACCCTCCTTCCCATTTCGACAACTGTCCTCCGAAACGCGGCGCTAAATACCCCCAAATGGGGCCCAGTGGGTCCGATCCTGGATCGACTGGTCTCTGTCCCATTTGTCAGGGGACGTCCTGATTGTAAGCGCTTGTTTCCTGACGAATAGAAATCAATAGTACGACCCCTTCGAACGCCAAGTGTTGGGGTGACCCTCTTTCAGAAGAGTCCAAACTTTTTGATGGCCGCCTTTCAGGTGGTCTTCCTGCAGTTCCCTCATTTCAGAGCTGCGGAATCTCGAGTGAAACAAAGAAGGCCCCGGTGCTGACAAATGCCCTCTGCCTGAGTAGGTGTGCTCACGGTTTGCAACTATGGACTGAAACTTAGAATGAGTAACAGCACATTAAGTTTTTGCGTGGATGTTGGAATTTGCCCCGGCATTGTAACTTCAAGTCGCCCGGGCTGACCTCTGAATCGCCTCTTGAACCCTGGGCCCTTGTTGACCCAATCAAACCGGGCTGCCCAGTGACCCTGGTAGCAAAATATGGACCCCCTTCCTTTTCAGGGCTGACGTTTTTTCCTTAGGAACGCCCCCCAAAGCCGCCAGTGGTCGCTGGCGCCTTGGCGGAAAACTTGGCGCCCACCTCCGGCAGCTCGCAGTAGACCACCTGGCAGGTTGGTCGCCCCTGCTAAAAGTTTGACTTTTAGAGGTTTAATTGGAAAACCCATTAGTTGGCAAAAAGTTAAAGTCCTAACATCCAAGCAACATGCACCAAAGGTTGGTCGCCTGACTTTTTGAGGGGATTCTGCTAAGGTGCACTCTTGGATTCTTTCTGGGGCCAACACATCCCAACCTGCCTGCCCGTCAAAAAAAAGGTTTAAGTGGTGGAAACGCCTGTGCGTAGTGGGTGTTGGTGGTTGTTTGGTTGACTGGTTGGTCGATCTAGTGGCTAGTTGCTTGCTCGGTCAATCGTTTGGTTGATGGGTAGAATGGTCCGTGAACTGATTAGTTGGTAGGTTTAGTGGTTCATCGGTCCGCGGAGGTCGCTTCAATACAAAAAACCGATGCCGGAAATCCAAAACGCGAAGACAAGCGTCCAAATAGAAGCAACTTCACAGGACAAAGGTGCCAGCAACCAAGCGGCCCCTTTTTCCAGCGAAGACACACCACGGGTCAATCAATATAGTGGGCCAAACCTAACGCCCCCTTCAAAAAGAAAAGTTTTGCTGGTCAAATTGCAAAACCACAACAGTTGCACCGACCCCCTTCAAAAATATAGTTTTGCTGGCCAACTGGAAAAACAAACGCGGTAAGCCAAGTCTGGCAATTTCCATACGAACGCGGTACCGGGCCTCGCCCAACTGGCCCTGGGCAAAGTCTGAGATGCCCATGGTCGCCGAGTCACCTCGAATCAATAGGAGACATCCGTGGCTTTAAACCCAAAATCGATGCCCTCCAGGTCAATACGGAACCCAAAAAACAAACCTTGGCAAAGGAACAGGTGAACGGGATGTTTGGGAACCACAAAAAAAACACCCTTGGCAGAGCCCCAAAAAGGGCCCCCCCCTTTTGGGGTGTACTTTTTTATCACTTTGCAGGGAATTATCTGGGTATCACAGACTATGGCCCTGTATTCCCTGTTTCCATACCCATTGCTCCCTATAGTTTCCCCTCAAATATCACCCCAGCAGATTCAATTGTCATCCAGAAGGTTATGTTTCAACTGCCCAACAAGCCGAACTATGAAAATCCCTGAAAACTGCCTTGTAAAGATTCAATATATTACGTGTATATATATATATATATATATATATAGAGAGAGAGAGAGAAAGAGAGGGAAAGAGGCAGAGAGAGAGAGAGAGAGACACACTGTATCACGTGGGGTGTCCTGTTTGATGGCATCGTAAGAGGTAGGCCATACATATTGTTTCTGCTCTCGGTTTTGAATATGTGTCAATGATGTTATGGTTGTCTATCAAAATAAATGGATCAAGAACAAGGTTTGGTTCAAAGAGAAACTCAACCCAAAAAAGGAAAGGGACCCGAACTACACTGGGCAACTTGAGCGAGGGTTGCGGCTCGCGTTTCTCAAGCAACCCCTCACTATTTGTGGACGGAAGGGGGGGAGTCAAGCCGACCTTACCTGGAAGAATGCGCAACATTTCAACACACGCTGCTGAGAAACCTCCTTAATCCCGTAGCATGGTGATTTTGCACACAAACACGGCAAATCTGGCCCGAGCTGTATCACAATTCCTCAGCATGTGTTTGTTTGGGACAACTCCAGCAGTGCTTTCACGTGAATTCTAATGGATTCTGGGCCGCAAAATCAGGAGCTAGACTCAACAACCTTCATGGAGCCAGATTTGCAGAGTACGCTCCAAACAATTTGTCGGCAGAAATGAGTGAGTGGTCAAGACTTATGTGAGTCATCATGGTTGCCTAGGGCCTAGGACGTTTTGTCATGGCTGTCTATTGATCGGTTCCCAACTGTGACATGTTTGGATCTCCGTGGCTTTGGTGACAACCAACCCCTCCAGAGCCATGGTCTAAAAGCTCAGCTGCCCACCGTCGGCCTTGAACCTCAGTCAAGCGATTTATGGCAACCTCCAGTGACAGTGGCGGTGTCCATTTGGGTTTGTCTCAACAATGGGGGGAACCCCGAAAATGAGTGGTTTTTCCTGTTGGCTTCCGTTTAAAACAATCCAAAAAGGGTACCCACGAAAAAGGCACTCCCATTTGGCTCCCCTTTAAAAACACAAAAAAGGGCGTACCCTCACAAGACACTCCCAGAATGAAGTCAAAATCAAAACCTGGTAACTAGCCTACCAAAAACCATGAGACGGGGCAGCTGCATCTATTAAGTCTGGGACTGAGTAATCATGAGTAATCTTCACTTTCCCGCGTGTTGCGTGTCTTTCAGGACACCTTGTTTGTTTCAAGCCCTAAAGGGGGAATCCAAACCAGTGGCGGGTTATTCTGCGCGCTTGTCCAACTGGTTCTATATGCAGCAAATGATCGCTCACCGGCTAACTTGCAAACCCGCCGGACTCCAAGTCCCATGAATGTGCCATGTAAGCTCCATCGGCCGTTTTCATGGTAAGGTTGGGACACCTTGCGTGGAATCAAGGGGGCCTGAAAAGGAGTACATGCCCTTTGATTAGTTGAGTTACCATCTCCTCCTTGAGGAACACCCAGACCGCAAGAAGGGATGGCAAGACATCTTCGATGTTGAGTCAACGAGACCTCTCAGTCGGGCACTCAGAATTGGAAACTGGGGCCATTGGTAATTTTCACATAAGATGCGGACGATAAATATCGAAGCCAAGGATCCGATCAAACAAACAGTACAGGAAATGCGTGCAAACCGGTTGAGGTGTTTTGTTTACTAGTCCCGGCTTTTTCCTAGCCCCGGCTCAGTACAAGGCCTCCTACACTTGCCTTGGGAGCAATTGGCGGTATTCTCTGCGGGCCTGGTTGGCCAGGCTAGGGGGTTGTTTGGCGGGCTGCCTATTGCCTTGATTCGGCGCAGTTTAGAGTTGCTCGGGGCTGGTCTCGGATGAGTGCAGGCCTTGGGTTTGTTGGGAGCCATCCTCTCTCCTTTGGGAAAGTCTGGGTTGATCTTTCCACCAACCAAGGCCGAGGTCGCGCCTCAACATGCTACTGAAGGCTCCCGAATCCATGCTCTTGACACAGTCCCGGCAACCTGCAATGGCTGCTTTTTGCGCGCGCGGGGCAACACGCAATTGTTGGAGGTTGCCAGCCTTCTTCAGGAATGTCTTGAAAGAAGCATCCTTGAAAATGGGTGAAGTGCGGACGAGTGACCACGCGCCAAAAGCATCCCAGCCCCTTACCTCTAACCTCCGAAACCCCGATAATGTTTGATCCGAAACGCTTGTACTTTGCCGCCTTTGTGCAAAGAAGACCAGTAGAGGGGTCGCCGAAATGTTCTGCCACGATGATGAAGGACAACGGTCTCAGAGTAGCACTATGTAGCATTAGTGCACTTCCTGAGTGGATTGCACAGCAAAGGTCTGAACATTTGAAATTCCACTAACATGGTCCAAACCCAAAAAGGACAAAGTCCGAAACGGAACTCCGGGAGTGAGTTAGAAGCCTCAAAACGGTCGAACAACATCCTGGAACCAAGGGACTGGCTTACACGGTGTTCAGGAGAAAGTGAACGTCGCAGTGAGGCGCAGGTTGACTTGAAGTAACTAGATAGCAACCCAGGCTTGCAAGCTATTTATGTGACTCATTGACTCATGTCCCGGGAGAACTGATTTTTAGCCAATCTATAGCGACCCGCCCCAAAAGCCCGCGCGACTCTCCAGGATGCCCCGCCACTCGTGTGTCGGGGCGAACCTGCGGCAACAGTTGCCAACAGCCACCGTGCCTTGAGTCTCTCGGTGTGTTGCCTGAAAAGTTGAGCCGCCAGGTCCTACTTAAATCCAGGGTCTGCATTAACTAATGTCGGACTCTGTTTAGTGTGAGCCCCCCCCCCCTGGAACAGTGGAACCAGTCGGCGGGACTCTCTTTAGGGAGATCCTGGGGGTCCGGGAGGGGCAGTACTTACTTTAGTACAAGTAGTACCGCGCAAGGCGGTGGCGGAAGTTTCTAAAAAAGAACCACTATAGGAGGCTTGAACAACCAGGGCAAACATGTTTGGGGCCAAATTGAAAACCAATCATGTTTTGTTTGTGACGAACATGGCCAAACGGTCACAAAAGAAATCAACAGGTCATGTCTTCACAGGCAACTATTCCACCGCTCGGACAAAAACTGGAAAGAAAACCTGGCTGACAGGGAGCCTGCCTGACCGCAAATGTTTGACAAGTCTTAAGCCTCCATCATTTACCCTTTGTTACCATCCGCCCGCCCGTTGTCCCACCGGCTCTTTTTCCTTTTTATGCGGGCAGATTCACTTTGTCTCTGTTCAAGGCAGCACGGTCAGAAAAGACGCATGCTGCCAGGCAAGGCACACTGCAAGGCACACGGCCTGGCAAGCGCCGGGCGGTCAGAAAAGACGCACCCTGGCGCATCTCAAGCGCATTCAGCGCTGTCTTGTCAAGCGTTCAAGGTCATCGTGCACCTCTTGCGCCGCGGTGCGAAGCTGGAGACACTCGTCAATGTCATTTTGCTCGAAGTGTTTTTTGGCGTGCAGCGGAGTAAAGGCAACCAAGCCGGGTATGTCTTGGCCTTCGTTGCTGTGAAACTCAGGGAGCCAGCGGGGAAGGCCTATGAGCATCACGCGGTCATCGCCGTCTGCTGCTCTTTCGTCCGCACGGGCCACAAAGCCTAACTCCTGCAAAAGCGTGCGAAGATACTGGCTGGCCCGCTGGTCTCGCGCGCGCGGGTCAGCCCCTTTGCTTCCGATCTCCGTGTACCTCAAGTATCGCTGCGCGTTCAGAGTGGCCATGATGCCGTGTTTTTTGTTGAAGCCATGCCAGTGTGGGCACACGGTGCCAAAGCCCATAAGCTGCTTGTGCCTGCGACATCTTCCAAGAGGGCATGTGTCGTGCACCAAGTAGTGCTCGATGTCCCCCGCATCGTTTAAGTATCCAATGGGGCGATACTTTTCACCCCACATGGTGCAGCAAACGGGTCGCACCACAGAGCGGGCAGCGTGGTGCCTCTTGCGGTAGTTATGCGCCACCCAGCCGGCATCGGCATCGCCAGGACGCGTGCGCTGCGCTCTGATGCCGCAGCCTAAAAGAAAGTCATACAAGGCAACATCCCAAGCCTCCTGGCGCGCCAAGTGCACGGAAGCACACATGCCCAGCATGAGCTCCACGTGTGCTCGCAAGTGTGGATGCATCACACTGTCGGGCCTCAGCGTGGCCATGATTTCAGCTCCCAAAGCTTGCAAGTGGATTTGCGCTCCAAGGGCTGAGACAGGGGCAGAAAAGCCGCCTGCGTGGCTCCAACTTGGACTTGTCACAAAGCACAAACTCCCAGTCTTCTAAATGCTCTTTCTGGTCGGCATTCAACAATGCCACGTGCCTGTCGAAGAAATTCTTAGCTTGCTTCCAACGTGTGTCGGAATTCGCGCGGTTGCTGCTGACAACAGCTGACAAGCTTTGCTTCTGTAGCTGAGCAATTTCAACAGCATTCTGAGCGAAGAAGGCTTGCACTTCGACAAAGGCAGGAGCACGACGCGATGCTGCAGCTTCTTTTGCCGCAGCACTCACTTGACACAACTCAGCTTCCTTTGCAAGCAAAAAATCCTTTTCCGCAGACGCCAAGCGGTCGCTATAGCGCAGCAGGAAAACACGGCAAAAGCTCGACATTTGAAATTCCTGCATGTGTCGACTCTGCAAAGCTGCCAGCAAGCTTGGCTTGCTTGAGTATCTTATCGCCTCTGCCGTCTCTGTCAAAAATGCCTCCACGCGGCAAAAACAGCATTGAAGGCCGGCCAGAAAAGGCGCAGCCTCCAACGTGGACTTGTCACAAAGCACAAACTCCCAGTCTTCCAAAATCTGCTGCTGAGCTGGCTCCAAGCTTGAAAGTTTTCGTCTGCAGAAATTTCTGGCTCGCTCCCACTCTGGTACCTGACTGCGCCGCTTGCTGTTGAGCAAAGCTGTAAGCGTCGGCTTCTTCATTTGCACAAGCTCCTGCGAGTAGGCTGCCAAAAACGCCACCGTCTTATCAAATGCGTCTGCCATGGCGTCCGGAGCGGTCAGAAAAGACGCGCTCCACCGTGCGGGATACACAAGGAAACGATGTCACTGGCATGTGTCTGTGGAAGTATATGCGTTCTGTGGGAACACAAACTAAAAAAAAAACATCAAGAGGTTGTCCGCCTGAGCGTGATGCTGGTAGGTCGGCTGGTGACAAACAACAAACTAGAACATTAACATGTTCTCGGCCTGTGTGTGGTGCTGGTGGGAGTGCTGGTGAAAGTGTAGTGGTGGTAGTGGTGGTGGTGATGTGAGTTGCCGCTCCGCGATTGAAGCCGGGACATGAACAAACATGAACAGTGGTGGTGGTGATGCTAGTGATGCTGGTGACGAAAACCGGGACATTGAACAAACATGACATACGCGGAGCAACTGACAAGACAGAGCCGAAACGCCACACGGTCACAGCGACATTACCTCCCTATCTATCTATCTATCTGTCTATCTACCTATCTATCTGCCTGTCTACCTCTCTATCTATCTGTCTACTTGTCTCTCTATCTTTCCAGCTTTCTATCTATCTATCTATCTATCTATCTGTCTGTCTGTCTATCTATCTAGAGCGCGACTAACTCAACAGGGCAGCGTAGGATGCCTTGCGCGTTGCCATTCCAATGCGTTTTACCACTGCCAAGCTGCATTCCATCTTAGAAATGCGCACCGCGCGCAAGCGCCACGCATTTTTTCCAAATTGGATGAAAGCCTTGCGCGTTGCCATTCCAATGTGTTTTACCACTGTCAAGCTACATTGCATCTTAAAAACGCGCACCGCGCGCAGGCGCCACGCATTTTTCCAAGTTAGATAAAAGCCTTGCGCGTTGCCATTCCAATGCGTTTTACCGCTGTCAAGCTACATTGCATCTTAAAAACGCGCACCGCGCGCAGGCCGCGTGCGATTTTTGAAAGTTGGAGCTTCCAAAAGTAGCCCGACCCTCTCAGGTTTTTACGATTTTGACTTCCAAATGTGCACCGCGCGCAGGCCGCGTGCGATTTTTGAAAGTTGGAGCTTCCAAAAGTAGCCCGAGCATGTAGTGTTTTTACGATTTTGACTTCCAAATGTGCACCGCGCGCAGGCCGCGTGCGATTTTTTGCCAGCAATTCCGACCAAAGGCTCCGCACCCGCCGCTTTACCGAAGTAACTTCTGGGCCGTCTGGAGGCTCAAAACATTGAAAAATACAGCATTTCGCGACCTTTCTAACATTTCGCACACCATGCTTCATCTTTCTTCATCGCTTCTTCATCTTTCTTCATCGCTTCTTCATCTCTTCTTCTCTCTCTCTCTCTCTATCTCTCGCTCTGCACTGCTCTGCTTGAGTTGTCGATATTGTCGGAAGTTAGACTTCTAAACTTCCTTCGATTACCAATTCTACTTTAGTATTGCCAAGGCGGACTCTCAGATCCCCAGTACTTACTTTAGTATTACCAATTCTACTTTAGTATTGCCAAGGCGGACTCTCAGATCCCCAGTACTTACTTTAGTATTGCCAATTCTACTTTAGTATTGCCAAGGCTGACTCTCAGATCCCCAGTACTTACTTTAGTATTGCCAATTCTACTTTACTATTGCCAAGGCGGACTCTCAGATCCCCAGTACTTACTTTAGTATTGCCAATTCTACTTTAGTATTGCCAAGGCTGACTCTCAGATCCCCAGTACTTACTTTAGTATTGCCAATTCTACTTTACTATTGCCAAGGCTGACTCTCAGATCCCCAGTACTTACTTTAGCATTGCCAGCATTGCCAGTTCTACTTTAGTATTGCCAAGGCTGACTCTCAGATCCCCAGTACTTTCTTTAGTATTGCCAATTCTACTTTAGTATTGCCAAGGGTCGTTTCTTCAGCAACCCCCGAAACCAGTTGGACACTAAAGAGGACACCAAAACAGTCGCATTAAAGAGGATCTGGGCCTCTTGTGGGCACCCCCCTTTGTGTGACTGTTTGCCCACACTTTTTTGTAAAGAAGTTATCTTAAATTTGATGGTTTGGGAACAACTTGCAAAATCGATTTCCTAGATCTCAGGCCTTTCACCTTTGAGCTGGGGAGAGCTTAGGATGAGTCCCCTTCTTTAAAAGTAAAAGGCTGAGGCTTTGGTTTTCAGTTTTCAGCAACCCCGAAACCACTGGACACTAAAGAGGACACCAAAACAGTCGCATTAAAGAGGATCTGGGCCTCTTGTGGGCACCCTCCTTTGTGTGACTGTTTGCCCGCACTTTTTTGTAAAGAAGTTATCTTAAATTTGGTGGTTTGGGGACCACTTCCAGAAAACAATTTCCCAATTCTAGCTCAGAACCAGCCTCCAGCTCAACAGGAGCTACCAAGGCTTAGCAAGTTTAGCCTGAGCCCGAGCAAATCCAGAAAGCGAAGAAAAAAGCTCTGCGTTTGTTTTTTTTGTTGGGGGGACAAAACAACTTGCCACAATAGAGAACCCCTAAAACAGTCACAGGATTCTGAATTAGGAAAAACGTCTACAATAGCAAGTACTATTAATAAAGGAGGTCCAACATTACCTACCACTTCCCCCCCACGTAAAAACAAAAAAACATACAGGTTCACCGAGCTTGTTGCCAAAAAAGCGGAAAATGTTCAGGCCCTCGGCAGGTTCCAGGAACCGCCTGAGTCACAATGAAATCCTGATACTAAAAGCACTCCACGCCTCTTTCTGGCTGGGACGGTTCGTTATTTCTTCTTTTGCCAACCTGTGGGTGTTTCTCAAAACAGTGGTCCACGCGTGTTCATTTTCTCAGCTCTTATATATGACTGTCAGTTCTTCCCAGTTCTCCTCTAATTTCATGTTCAGTTCTTCTTTCAGTCGCTATGCCACTCTCTCACACGGTGTAGGGCTTTCGGCGCATCGCAAAGCAAATCTCTTGTATTTGTGCGCTGAGCTGTCCCCTTCCAATTGCTTCCAGTTGCTGCTATTGGCAACCAGGGGAACCCATGCAAAACCTAGAGGCCAGAAAAACTCAAGCCAGACGCAGTGATTCCATTCAATTTCCTCGCTTCCGATCAAGTGGATTGGCCACACAAAGCAACCTAACACTAATTCTGTACCACTAAAATGGTCCACACCCAAAAACCTCAAAGTCCAGGAGCTCGGGGAGTGAGTTCCCCACGGCAGGTTTCCATGGCAACCCTTCAACATGGAAATGAAAATGGCTGGTGACCTGTACTGGGATCACTGGGATCGCAGGGATTCACCAGACATCTTCCGACTTCCGACCCCTCGAACGGCGCGCCCGACTTTTTTAATCCGCCTCACCGCAGAGAAGCCTCGCAGGCGAAAGGCAGGAGCCTAAGAGCCGGACCGACCGATTAAGGAGGTTGTGTTTAAGCAAAGGTTGGCTATAAGCATCCTTAAGCTTGGAAAACAAAGGGGTGGACAAAATATGGCTATGTTTTTTCTGCTGTTTTGTTTTAAAGAGTTGGACCTAGTTGGAGCCGCCTTACAAGTGGTGGACATGAATCCCCACCTAAATGTCGACCACCAAAGGGTCCCTAAATGGATTTCTTCAGTGGATTGGCAGCACAAGTGTGAAGTGCTTGTGCGACCCCAAAAGTCCCTTGCCGAAAAGTGTTAAAAGCCGCTAAACTCACAAGTGAGCCAATAGCCATACCCTGGCGCCGCTTGAAAGGAAAAGAAAAGGAGGTTGTTTAAACAAAGCTTGTCTAGACATATTTGACCAAGTCCATCCTGAAACCTCAAAAACAACTTACAAATAGTGGAAAAGCCCAAACAACAATTTGCTTTGAAGAGACCTTGAGCGCAAAAACTGTGGTTTGGGAACACAATTTGCCCCATGGCTGGGCTCAAACGGCCCCATGGCCCGAAATTCCCGGTTCGTTGAGTGCTTTGAGTCTTAGAGTTGGAACAGGGCGGCCCTTGTTTGGCTGCTTAGTGTCCTTCCCGCGGTGAGCTGAAGGCAAGGTTGCAAATTCCCTACTGAATGGTATGATATTTCTGGCTGTGTAAGGGGAAATCTTGGCAATCAGCATCGCAGTCTCTGGTGCTTTGGTTTTCGACGCTCGTTTGCCAGAATCGGGGTAGCCCCGCTTCAATGGGGTCCAGGGCAATCACACGCAGGTTCCCACTGGAGGGAACTGAGGGCTTGTCTGCTCGGGAAACGGTCTTGGTTTCTCAGTTTCTCCCCTGAAGCCAACCCCAAAAAGGACTTTTTCCCATGCCATACGTGTGGCAAAGAAGCCAGAGCCCGTCTTGGCTGTTCGATCAAAAGCAGGGCTCGATTTAGATTCTGGTCCATGGCATTGGAAGAACCGCAAAAAACAGTCCCCAGAGATCCCCCGAGTTGGGAAAGATGCAAAGGACGAATCCAGCTTGATTCGGGACGTGGCGGTGTGTCAACAGTAGGTTCCCAAAATGGAACCCTGGTCGGTGAAAACATGAACTGAAACCCGCGGTCCCCCTGGTGGCTAAATTTTGACCCCCATGTTGAGAACCCACCAGACAAACATTCAGAAACACGGCGCCGTGGGCTTTTGGGGCTAGAGGAAGCCAATAATAGGTGCGATGGTCTCCAAATGAGACTTCTAGGGTGCCTTGCCCCCGTGCCAAGAATGGCAAGGACCCCCCCGATTTGGATGATGAAACTCTTTGAGACTAGTAATGGTGGTTCTATTAACCCCCTTTGCTTTGGTGGTTTGAACCCCGCGGGGTAGGGACCTACAGAAATTGGGTGGTTGCTTTGGTTTCCTCTTCACTCTGTAAAACTAGCCAAGCCAAAGTACACCCTCAAAGAGACATAGGGTTTCAATAAGTGACTCACTTTCCAGGTCTTGGTTTCACGAAGGTCCCAAATGCCTAGTGACCAGGAGAAAGGGCGGCCGTTTTTCGGTTGTCTCCTGTCCACTAACATGGAATCTGACTGAGGGGTCCTGAAGACTACTTCCCTTTAAAGGGGATCGAAGCGGCAATGTGGACAGCAGCGGGCAACCGATTTTGAAGGAAAACATCAGCATCACTGGGCGGGGAATGGCTGAGGCTGCGGCGCTCGCGACGCGGAAAGAGCCTTGGAACGAGCTGAGAAGCGCCCTCTCAGCGTGCCATGGGAAGATGAGAGGACTCTAGGGGTACCGTCCCCATTCTTTCCAGGCATCCTTCTGTCTAAGAAACCTCCAAAAACCATGGGGAAACAGCTGGTTTTTTGAAAAGAACGATGGTTGAAACAAATGAAAAGTCAACCCCTAGAAGGACACCCTCTGGCATAAGAAGATGAGGTCTGAGGACACACCTTCTGGCAGGTTCGCCGCAGCAAGTGATTGGCTGAACCCATCCGCTACTCGAAGTCCGCTGGCTCAATCCCAAGACCCCTTGTAAATTCCCAAAGCCGTGTTGTTTGCTTTCCGACCCTCACTGCGTTCGACCCAAACAACTCTTCCTTTTGTTCGTTGTAGCCGCCCACCGCACATGAACCACAAAAACCAAATATGCTAAGAATAGTGAGGCTTGTCCGTCCAAAAGGGACAACTCCCGAACATTTCTTCAGTAAATCAGCATGTCTGCTGCACTGCTACCCTATGTTTTTAACTGGCCACTAGGGCACCAAATCGGCTACAGGGATCTCTTGAAAGCCAAGGGAATCCGTCGTGCACATTGAGCTTTTTCTGGCACACGTCTCTGGGCTCGCCGCCAAAAGCTGCGCGCAAAGCGGCCCTCAGGACCCACTGGCAAACTTGCGGGGGAGTGCCGGAAAGGGATCCCTTGTACTTGTGAAATATAAGTATAAGGACCATTCCCATTCGCAAGGATCGAAACTTGGAAAGCTGGAAGCAACAAATGTTCTTTCTTTGTGCGCAGCTGCCGGTTGTTTTTAGAGGAAAAGGGTGCAAAGCAGTGTTCTGACTAGATTTCTTCCGGACATCAAAGTTCAAGCAGCTCCCAGGCGCGCTGGTGGGACCGTCGGGAAAAGGATCCTTGAAGAAATCGGCTTGGACTGTGCGCTGGCTACAGCACATGCCACCAAATGGGATACCAGTCCCAACCAGCGGGTTCTGTACCCCCTGATCTCGAAGCAACGGACCCGCGAAGCTCGAGGGTTATTTTGCTTTAAGTCATAGATTCAAGGAAGATATGGATGTGTTTGCTTTCAACCGCAAATCCGAGGGTAATTTGAAGGATGGCTTATGATCCAGGCTTGCGGCACATGGTTCGAACCATCGTCAGATTCTTGGCCTGCCCTTTGCGCATTCTACTCAACAATCCCAGAAGCCAGGTTTTGGAGAACTGTTCAGCTTGACAAGTTGGAATTCTGCACTTCCATTGGAAAGAGGGTAAGCAACAATCATAGAAGCCAGCTTGTCCTGGCTCTTGCCAGGGCGTCAAGCTTGAGACTCCAGTGTCTCATATCTCATCGGGGAGATATCATGCTGCGATGAGGACGATCTCAAGGGAAACGGGCTTACCCATGGTGCAACTTCCACACATGGAATTAGTTTGACTTGGGAAACCCTCATTTCTGGTTTCTGAATAGTATTCGCGCAACCTTACACAGTGCATGTTTGTGAAAGGGAACGCATCGCGAAAGGACAGCAACTGGCGACACAATTTTCACTGGTGAGCTTTCTGACAGGTGTCCCTCAACTTCAACTTTGTTGGCCTCCAAAAAAAGCAGCTTGGTTGGAACCCACTCAGCTGAAAGGGAAAAAGGTACCCCTTCTAACTATTTTGGCACTTGTATAAGTGGGACTGATTAATCCTGGACCACCGTTAGAGGTCCATGTTGGCATCCGTGGATTCACCACCGGTCAACCGCAAAGCTCCGTTTCTCTAGAACCTGGAAGGACGTATAGCGAAATGGCCGTGAGGCAAACCGCCCCATATGCAATTTGGGTGTCCTTTTCTGAGAGAACCCACCAAAAGAAAAGGGTGGCTTAACTTTAAATGTTCCTTTTGGTATTCAAATCACAACAAACCACAAAAAAGTGGTACCCTCAAACAAAACAAAGACCCATTTTGAGGACTTCAGGGATGTCCGGTCCGCGCCTGATATTTCAGGCGTTCGGAAAACCCTGAGCAACCCCACATGGCGAACTCGAACTCGGAGGCCTGCAAAGGAAATGAAAAAGGACCCAGAAACGGGGCCCGTTCTGGGGGTGTCCCTTTAGGAGAACTCCTTTTGGGTTGGCTTTAAGTTTTCCCTTTTTGCGGGCACCTTATTTTAAGACATGCCGATGTGGGTCTGCGTGTGTGTGTGTGTGGGTGTGTGTGTGTGTGTGTGTTCCTGAGGAGACCCACATGTTCCTGTTGGTTTCACCTCACTTCCGATCGAGTGGATTGGTCAAAAAAAAAGTAACCGAACTTTGATTATTTACCACTCAAATGGTCCAAACCCAAAAAGTTTAAAGTCCAGGAACTCGGGGAGTGGATTTCCCATTGTCCCACGGCAACTCACTGTGAAGGGACCAAGAGGTGATGTTTGCAAAGCAGCAGAAGTGGAAGCATAGGGAACTCCGAGGAAATCAGGGCCTGAATAATTCGAGTTTTGGCTGTGGGGCACTTTAACACCAAAGAAGCATGGCTGTGGAACATGCGGGTATGGGCCAAACATGTGGTACCAAAGGTTCCACAACAATGGTCATGTTACATAGCCGGCCACCAAATATTGGGGGTTGATAATTTGACCCAGGCACACACACACACACACACACATATGCGCTCATTAAAATATTCACTTGTGGCTCCTGAAAATCTCTCAAGGTACTGTAGGGTTGTTATGAAGGAACCGCTTTGCGGCAAATCCCGCGTTTTGGGCCCGCGGTTGCAGAAGAATCACACAACATACTTAAGAGATTGCTCCAGCTGTGCCTGGTCCATATGGGTGCGTCGCTTTTGAGGGAACACCAAATGGCGGATTACCTTTTGGTTTCCCTTTCAACTCACAAAACAGATTGGTACCCTCCAAAAAAAGACAGACCCGTATTTCGTCTGCAGAACCCAACGGATGCAACTCTGCCCCTTGCAACCAGCCCTACCCGGGTTGCCACACACGCCAAGGGATCCCTTAGACCTACGTGGGTGTGTCTTTCTTGTTTTCGGACCTCCCTTTGGGTTGGTCTGAACTAAAAACAGAGAGCTAAAACAAAGCAAGATTTGGCACTCCTCTCATGACTGTACACGCCACCAGGAAGCGCTCTTAGAATCTTAGAAGAGCTCTGGGCCGTAGGGGACCCATTTTAGTCTGCACGTTTGTTCTTCTGCCCATTGTCTTTCTGGCTGATTACAATTTCGCGGGCTCCGGCCTTTACGACCCTCCGAAAACACAACACTGTTTGACGTATCCAGACTGGTAGACTAACTGCATGGCGTCCGAGACCACGAGATGCGGCTGACAGCCGTCCATCACAAGCACGTCCAGAGTAGTATGAGCGCATCCCTAGCACACCAACGACCAATTGTTGTGGAAGGCTGGGCAGCCTAGGGGCCTACGAATCTTGACAGGGTCTTTAGAGATCCTTAACCCCTGTCCATACAAGCAAACAGATCATTTTTTTTACGACAAAGAACACTATGCCATTAGAGGCGTACATTTGTTTATACACATCTATACATACATATGTAAACTATCCAACACATCCGGGTGTGGTGTCTGTTTTCGAGGGCAACTCTCCTTTGCCACCCCCGTTTTTGGTGGGAAACCACAAGGACCACCAAAACCACGGACGATTTGCGTCCCATCCGCACCTCGGATCGATTGGCTCAGCCCGTGGAGCTGGCTCAAGAAAGCGGTTGCGGACAATCCGAACCGAAAAGTCAGCTCAAGCGGCGAGCGAACGGGGAGGGCGCGTTTAGGGAGGGTTGGGATACTGTTGGGATCCTATGCCAATCTCAATGTGTGTTTGTTTTGAGGATAACCCTATTGGAGTGGCTTTCAAGGGAACCAACCGGACACCACTTCTTTTTTTTTGGGGGGGGGGCCCTAGTTCAAGACACACCCCAATCTCTTCTCAATTCCCAGCCCAAGCTGGCGAAGTGCACCCACAGCCGACCCCACTGGCGGGAAACCAGTGGGCCATGGCTTCCCAGGGGTTCGTACCTGCGACGGTGCTTGATCCCGTTGGACGAGATGCGCCGCACATCCGACAGTTGATGAGCGATTGATATGCTGCTAGCTGCCCTTCTCATCCCATCCTCTCCAAACCGCTTCAGTGGACTATCAATACCTTGGTCAGTCGCTCACAGGGGGAACCCTTACAATGATTGTCTGAAGTCCCTTTTATGGGTGTGGGTTAAAATTAGTCCACCAGGGGACCGCAGGTTTTAGTCTTTGGTTCCATTTACCAGGGTTCCATGTTGGGTACCTATCTTTGACCCACAGCCTTATGACAATCCCTAAAACCTCAAGTAACATGGTGCTTTGGCCATCAATCTCCGGATGTAAGTCGACCCCACGGTTGTTGTCCAAGTATTGCGAGCGAGGAAAAAAACTGTAAATTGGGGTTGGCTTGCTTGCTCATTGAGTTGGCATCCACCGTATATTTGATCCTTCACACCATTTCCAATGGGTTTTGGAGGTGCGGAGTCTTGTATAGTCTTGTTTACGATCAGCATGAGTCGTAAGGCAGTAAATTCCACTTGCAATATGGGATCACATGACCTCCACCATATCTTCAAAATCAACGCGGGTTTGTCTCCAAAAAAAAATCTCCAAAACGGGTGGTTTGCCCTTTGACTTTCCGCTGCCACCTGAAAAGGGGTGGCGTCAGAAGAAAGGTACGCCCATACAAAGCAAGCGCCATACTTCCACAATCCACGCGGTGGATTGTGATTTGTTTTGGGCTGTTCTCAGAGCGCTTTGGGAAGCCATTCATCTTGGCCCGTCACTCCGTTTTGAGGCGATCCCCGAAAATTCCCTGGGAGGGCCTTACGCACCTTTTGGCGCCCAAGCGACACCTGATTTCGACCGCCGGCAATGAAATCAGCCACGCCCGATGTCGCATGTCGCTCACAAAACTCGCAGTCGGAGAAGTGGGGAACTGCTATTCATCTCAGTTAAGGTTTGTTCAAAAAAGTCTCACAGGGTGCCAAGTTTGATCTTTGTCCAAGCGGTCACAAAACGGTCCAAAAAAGGGCAGCTATGTGAACAACATGTTGAACAGAGAAAACACACACACACACACACGCATACATATGGTGTCTGTTTTTTTTGGGACCCCTTTTTGGTTGGTTTTGAATGGACACCAAAAGGAACCATTTTGGGGTTTCCCCTAGTACAAGACACACCCATATTGTGGGTGTGCTTCTCTGAATCCTCCCTGTTGCTCCCAATATCTCCCAAACGCCACCTCTCAGACCGCCAGCCGCGAAACGTAATTGAAAGATTGAAGGACTCCGGCCGCCAGCGCTCAGCGGGGAGGCCTGAGAACGTCGGGTCCATAGAGCGCTCTAGATGTAGCCTTGTACCCTTTGACTTGTGAAGGGATTGTTTCCTTTTGTCTATATTACGGTGTGTTCTTTGGGGTCCATCCCCCATTGAAACGGCCACCTATCTAGTGCTTGCCAAAAAGGAAGCAGTACATATGCATGGGGATTGAGGTTCCATGGGCGCCCGCCCATTTGACCTCCGGCACATAAAATCAACGGAGACCCTGCCTTGGCCCATCGGATTGAATCGGATCCGATTCCGGCCACCAGGTTTATTGGCGGACATGGCTAGAAGGTTGAACGCACAACACCAAGTGTTGTGTGACACCTCCCCCCGGCCGATGTTTTCCGGAAAGTTGGCAAGCCTTGGGTCCCTGCCATGCCTCTTTCCAGGGTAACTCCATCAGGAGTCAACTAAGTTGCGCACCATGAAGAAAGGTGCAGACCCTCCCAGAACCGAGTCTGATAGGAGTGCCAGTTGGTCAGTGGCCCTGGCACAAAAAGGCCACCTTGGAGCCTGGGTTGCCAAATCTGTGCTACGGAATCCGGCAGAAACAAAAACAGGAAATTGTGCTTCCGAAAAATCGGGTTGAAGGCAGCCGACGTGAAATATCCAAGTATCTGGGATCCCCAAATGGGATATGGACTCCCCTCACAGAATGGGCGGTGTCCTCCTTAGTTTCCCTGTAAAACAGCTCCCAAAAAAAGGTCCCTCCACAAAACACGCGCACTCACACACAGACACTGGGTTCCAATCGGTGTGGACTCACTTTCCGACAATTCGAGCCCACAAGCACCCCTGTATTTGAAGCCGGCTTCAAACTGTCTGCCATACACGGAAGAGATCCTAAGACTCAGGCCACGTCACGACATGTGCGCCCAAGGCGCAATCGTGTCCTGACATGTGCATGGAGGAACCTACAAGCTGATTCTTCAAAACCTCCTGATTCCCATGGGCGTTGCCTGGAATTTCTGAAGGAGGATTGGTGTTGGATGGAAATGATGGGGCAAACCAGCGAGCTGTTCAAACCAATGCTGAACCCGGCCGCGATCTTTGTCAGTCAGCCTAAGTGGTTTCAGAGATCCATGGTCTCTTCCTAGGAAATGGTTCTTTGAGGTTTTACCATCAGGAACTAGTTGTTTCGGGTTCCAGCAACCTACAAGAACCGATGGCTGTACGAGGCAGTGGCCATGCAAAAGGTTCCCAGGTCCCACAAATTGAGCCGAGTCCATGCCACAAGCGCCCAGCACCACACGCCCGTCCTGGTGGGAGGATGGGATCAAACCACAATGGACGCTGGGGTCTTCGTCTTCGAAAGCCATACTTCATCCTGGGCGTGGATCCACTGAGCCCAGATATCCTTTTTGTGGGGCCACCGTCGAAGTAAAGCCAGGTGAAATCCTAGAGGTCCATATGCTGTTGACCTATTGTGCCTTGTGGGGGTAGCCCCGGGAATCCTGCCAGAAACCGGAGCCCAGAAACCGGAGGCTAGGGCTGAAAGACGAATTGCCTGAATTCAGGGAGCCAAAACCCCCGGCCCTGCAACCCTACAGTCAGAAACTGCACTGGGTCACTTTTGCTGGGCAGTTCTTTTTAGGCGTCACATCCAAGCAAAAAATAGAACTTGGCTCACATACAGCTGGAAGGGTAGCAAAAGAACAGCAAATTTAATCCGTGTCGCCCTAAGAAATACACCCCATACAGTACATAGTGGGTACACATGCCATGGTGTGGCTCATGGTCATGGTTCCCTGGCGAATCTTCCACCCTGATTGTCTAAAATCCCTGCTGAAGGGCTAAAGGGTTGATGACCATCCCGACCCCAGGTGGTCTTTTGACAACATAGCAACCGACAATATGATTGGCCCAGTGTGGGTTTGGAAAGGACAGGCTTCATGCGGGGAACTACTCAGCTTCCCTCTAATCAAATTGGTGGTTTGGATTGTTGGTTTGGAGGTTGGAGGATGGCTTCCCATTTACGCTCCTTTAATCCAAACCACTAATTCAGAGTTACTGACCGAAGTGTCCCAGACTGAGATGGGTGGCCTTTTGGGAAACTAGATGGCCCTACATGTAGGTTATGAAACAACCAGTTCAATCAGGAATCGACATCTATGTTCTACCAAACCAAAAAGGATACCTATGGTCCCAAATGGTGTTGTATGTTTTTTTTGAGGTACCGGTTAAAACGGAAAAGACAAATGCAATCTGAATACCCCAGATACAAAACAGCTCGCTTCTTCGGCGGAAAGGGGCCAAAGTCTGGCCGTGCTTGGAGTCGGCCAGGACGAAGTGCAGAGTCGAGGCGTTCACCGCCTCCAAACGACCCATGGAGATCACGTCGGTGGCATACCTCAGTGCAAAGACCCCAGGCAAAGTGAACATAGGCACGTGAAATTTGTATCCACAAAAGGACATTACCATATTGATCCCTGTCCAGAAGCTGGAGGTTCAACAATTCGGTGCTAATCGTAGCCCTCGAGTTTTTGGTTGTTGTCCCATCCAGGGAACCAACTTCACAGGCGGAACATGCACAAGAATCCACGAGGCTGATTCATGGGTTGACAGAAAAACATGTTCAGCGGGTCGAGAACTCAGCGGAGCCTCCGCTAACATGCGATTGACCAGAGGCCCCGTTTAATCAAAGGTACCTTGACAAGGCCTCAGCAGCCAGGGTTCAGGCATTCTTAGGAGGAAACCAGGAGGAGGAGGGGGTGGCTCCTGCGAGAGACCTCTGCGCCAAGTCGCACCGGATTCTGCGGCAGCCGTTCGTCGTCCCCATCCCAGTCGTGCCCAGAGGGCACGCAGGTGTCGGTGTCTGCGCGGTTGCGGGAAGCCGCAAGAAGGCCAGGCAACTCAGAAACCTGCTTGTCCCTCAAACCTACCCTCAGATCCCTGCTAAAAGTGACTAATGGTTAGTCGCTTCGTGGAACCCCCCACTAAACCAACTAAAAAGCTCAACATCCTAGGTTTTGTTTGGTACTTGTTTAGAGGGGGAACCCTTTATTTGGAGGTGGTTCTAAAGGGAAAGCAGAAAGGGCCCCACCCAGTTTGGGGTTCCTAGATTTTGAGGCCAGCCCGAAGCTTGGCTCGGATCAAAGGGCAGAAGGCCTGCCTGTTCATGCAACCCTTGCCAAACACTGACGGTTGTTTCCCCCCTAAAATCAACCCAAAAAACTCACAAACTTGCCAAGAACATCGAAGTGCTTGCAGAAGGACCCCAACCCAAAAAACAACACAGACTTTGGGCATTCGCTTTTTTGCGCTTTCTTGCCGCAGGAAATCTGAACCATAGGCGAGCCTCCTTGCCATAGGAGGTGGGGTCATGGTCCCTCAGCCGATGTTCAGTCTAACCAAAAGGGAAAGTGAACATAGAGTAAAATGTGGACATTTCAGGGGGCAAGTGGGGAATTCCAGCACCAATTCCATTTTGAAGAAGGAAAGCACACCTACAAAGCCTTTTGGATGAGAGAGAAGCCGAAACGAGACGAGACCTGAAAGAAAGGGTCCAATTGCTGCAGATCTTCCGATCTGAATCCCATTTTGCGCAACTTGAATCTCCTCAGATCGGACCCTTTCCTTACACGGGTGGGTCAAAACCACTGAAGCTTACCCCTACGCGGTGGTTTGGTTTGGTTCCCAGTTCATTTCGAAAGGAACCAGGGTTTAAATCCAAATAGAAAAACAACTGAGGGGTAGGTGCAAACACATGGGACCTGTATCCGGGCCCCTGCGCCAAAAAAACAATTGGGAGCAACAAATTCCCCGGGACAGCTTCTTTTCAGGCACGCCTGGGGAGCACTTGGGGGCAACCTTGTACTCCATCTCCTCAGCTGGCTGTGGCTTCATCAGAAGCCGACAACTAACACCCAGGGTGTGATTTTGATGTACCTCTGGAGTTTTCTCCAACGCCAGTGCTAACTGAGCGCTGAAAGACTGCAAAAACTTATATATTTATGGTGGACCCCGCAGATTCGGCATATAACACGGCTGGAGAAAAGGGAAGCCGCAGGGTTTCCAGGGGCCGGCCTGCCAGGCCATGTGATGGGGTTTGAGGGGGCCTCCACTGACCCGGCTTGCCCAGCCAAGAGGGCTAAAAAGCAAATGTGGGCGTGTGGCGCCCTGAGAAATGAACACGCATGGACAAAGTCCCTACTTGAAGCAAAGGACCGGGGGGAGCGACCAAGGGACCGACGGACCGAGGGACCAAAAGCCGCGGGGGACCAAGAGACCACAAGTCTACCATCAAAACAGAGGGATTATGGAAAGTGTTGTTTGATTGTTATAATAGTTGTTTGTTGATACCGAAAAAGTGTTTGTTGATTGCTAAAAACTTTTTTCTTCATGGTCCTCCCACTTGGCCTTCAGATCTGGGCAGGGCAGCCCTGATTTTGCCAGCAAATGCGGAGGCGAAGGGAAAGATGAAGGGCATCCAAAGTGGACAAGCCAGTTAGAGGTCCGCAACTCGGAGCGTTTGGAAGCCTTCCCCATCCAATAGGACAAAGTCTCTGTGGCGTTTCCCCCCACCCCGCCGCTAGTGGGCGCTGGACAAGGACAGTACATGTCAGACAATGTCCCCAAAAACCATGATCCAATCAAACCGCAGCCAAGGTCTCAGCCAGACTCCCAAAAAAAGGCACTCAAACCTGTTTTGTGTGCCCAATGTCATGTGTACGTCAGAGAAGCCCAATTGCTTAAACCGCAGCAACATGGCTGATTGCCAGTGGCTGCCTGGGATCCGCATGTGCAAGTCCATTTCAATCAGGGCCTTTGCCAGCACAAAGACCCCACCAAACTCCTCCATGTTTCCCGCGACCCCCACTTTTGAACCCTCAATGGCCCCAAACTTTACAGGAACAAAACCGGGCGGGTCGTCTTTTTCTAAGGCCGTTGTGGCACGTTGCTTTTACAGGGAAACCCGAAAGACCCAAAGAATGCCACCCATTTTGGCCTTTCATTTTGAGACACACCCATATAGATCATTTTGCCAAAAAGGGGGCTGGGCTCCGGCGTGAAATTGTTGGCCCCAGCCCGCAGCCAGGCGCCATCCAGGGACGCGAGATTGCTGTTGAGAGGGGGCTGGGGGACTTTATTGAAAGAAGACCCCGTTTTGTTTTGGCCTCCGACCGTGATTTCCCTGGTCCCAAATGCTTAAACTCGGGGTGTTCGAAGGAAAGGTCTGGGTCTTCCATTGGACAGGACCGGGCGCGTTGAGGGAGGGAACTTGAAACCTGAAAGGCCAACACCTTGTGGCAAGTGGAGGGGCGGGGGCTTGTCTTTTTTGAAGCCACCATTTTGTTCGGTTGAGGCGAATTGAAGACAAAACATCTACTTCGAAGTTCCACCACTTTAAATCACCCATTTCAAACCACCTTTTCCGGGCTGTCCTCAGATCCCCTAGGAGTTTAACTTTTGGTGGGTTGAATGGAAGCCCAACCACTCAACTAAACCCTCAAGACCTACAAGCTTAAGGGGACGGCTGTGGTCCCCCTCTCGCAAGCTCCGAGGCTCGTCGCAGCCGGCACCGCCGGTCACAATCTGAATGAAGCCGCTGGGGTCCTGAAGTTGGGTCGAGTCGCATGAGCCGTGGTTAAAAGACCTCCTTACTTGGGGATAGCGTTGGGCCATCCACACTGGTAGCAAGGTTCCAACTTATGACCGTTATGGGTAGAGTACAGGTACAAGTCGAAATTGTGATGGCAAATTCTAGCAATTTGCTTTCCGATCTGGCAGGTATAGCGCCCAGGGGATGTCCAAGATTGGTTGCTGGGGTTTAACAGCTTGCCTTAAAACTTGAGATTGGTCCATCCCTGTCGGCTCCCTTGAGAAGAGAATCTACAAAATTGGATTATTCAGCACCCAGTTCTGCACAGAGCCACACAGCCCGGGCGAATAAGCTTAGGTCTTATGTGTGCATCAGTCAAACCACCCCGGCTGTTAAAAACTCGCACATACACATTTGAAGGGCGAACAACTTGCCGGTCAAACCTCCGGAAGACCCCGCTGATGACCCTCTCCTCCCACCAACATGACCCCTGTGAAGAGACCGCTTTTGGAAACGGCAAATGATACATCCCCCCACGTCGGTTTCGTTTTGGCAGATAGAGCCCTTTGTTGTGGACCAGGTCTTGGATGTGTGGCGATCTGTGCAATTCTTGCGCATACGCATTTGTCCGGGAGCTGGGTTTTTGCCGATGCTTCTTTCCATCAGAAGGGCAGCAAATTGAGGGTCCCCTTTCTTGGCAATCTCCGTGATCTCAGGACACCTGCCCTCATAAAGAACTACCCCCAACTTTATGGCGCGGCAATGGGGCCATTCTTTGATAGAGTGTTCAAAATCTGGCAAGCACCGACCTCAATTGGATGTCTCTTTTTGGGGACCCCCCTGAAAATGTGGCTTTCCTTTTGGTTCCCTTAAACCCGCCCCCCCCCAATTCAAAAAAAAAAAGAAGTAGCCCAGCACAAAGACAGACCCACATGTTTCCAGCAAACATACTGCATATCTTTCCTGATGATGTCCACTTGTGTCACTTGAACTACTGAGGGGATCAAGCGTGGGTTTGCTTCAGCAACTAGGCAAAGGCATATCTGTCTTGAGAGAACCACATGTCACATGTCCCAACGCTCCGCCACATGGATATAATTACGAGGAGAGCCCCGCCAACTCAAACTGCCTGGATGATATTTACGCCCATTTGCCAAGAGACGCCGGTTGAAAAGGTGAACCATGCTAGGGCTAACCATTTCCATCCACATTTATCCCAATCTCCAGCCTTGTAGACGCGCTTGGTCTCATTTTTCTCCCCAAATGGAGCGTCTCGCCAATACCTGGCACGGACGGGGCGTGTAGGGTTGCCTCAAAATGATTTACGACGGACCCGCGCTGTGGATTGGCCAGACAAACTTCAGACTTCATTATTTTGGGACATGGACTGAAATGAAGAACCCATCCAACCCCAAAGTGTTTCTTTCTGCTGCCACACATTTCGTTGCAAAACGGCTACAACTAAGGAAGACAAAAGTTTGCAAACTGAAATCATGCAAAGGGAAGTCACCGATTTCCCCGCCACTTTGAGGCGTCCCCGAACCAAATTTGAGACCAGCGAACAGCTGCAAAATGAGCTTGTGAAGCTCTCGGAGCTGGTCATCAACCAATCGCTGTGCAGCATATGGGGCAACTAAAGCAGCGCATAAAAAAATGCTTTTTTCACTGACGCGGTCCCAGGCCAAACCCCAGAGAACTATGAGAAGGAAGCCTTACTTAGAGCTTGTTGAAACCCGTTTTGCTACCCTTGAAGTGAACATCTTCCAGGGGTCTGGTGGCACCACCATTGAAACAACACCAACAATGAGCACGCGCACATACAAAGTACAGTTTTGTGTTAAAACAAATGGAATTCTCCCTCTATCCCTCTCTATGTACACGTCGATCCATCCATCCATCCATCCATCCATCCATCCGTCGACGCGTACACAACTAAGCAAGACAATTCACAGCACATACATCTGTGAATCCATAAGTATCTTTCAATATTAAATACACTCTGTCAACAACTCAATAACTACCTGGACAAGCGCATGCCTCTGATAAAATAAGCTCATCTTTACACACTACAGTGTATGTCCTATCATGTCCTGTCTTTCTGGGCAGTCAGGATGATGGAAAACACGTGGGGCGCCAGCGCCCATTGCCCGCTTGCACGCTTGCCTGTGGGCATGTCCGGCGAAGTAGAAGTCCACCCCGTATTTCCTCGAGGCAACCGAAAGAGGAGCTGGGTGCTAAGTAGCCAGCTGGGGAAAACACATCAACTGTTGGTTTTCTTTGGAATGTAACGAAGATTGGCTGTTCCGCGCGGGAGATTCGGGGGCCAACAAGCGCCTTCGTCAAGTCAATAGGGTCCTGGGGAGTCACCGGGGAGCGGTTTGTGTCCTTGAGGTCTGGTCCCCGGCCTTGTGAGAAGAAACTACGTGCGAACGCAAACGGTGTCTCTTGACTTTTGCCCATGCTGGAACCACGCTTGCGTAATCAACCTCTGCGTTCCTTTCCAACAGCTCGCCAGGGTCTTTGCAACATTGCTCTGGCAGGGCATACCGATTGGAGGGACCCTCTTGGCAGGTTCCGCGCGCTGGACCTGACTTCGACCTAACTTTTGGATACTTGAACAGGAACATACGGAAAAAAAGAAAGGGCCTTTAGTCTGGCAATCTCAACCCAACGGGAGAACAAGCCCCCCCCTGCTGGGTGTTCATAGCCGAGGCTGGTGTGAGCAGTCTGTTGGCTGAGCAGGTGAGTCGCATCTGCCAAGCAACGCTGAAGACCATAAAACATTCAAATTCATGCTGTTGTTCTAGCGCTTGCTTTCTATAGGGAACCATCTCTCAATATATATATATATATACACCTGAAACAATCCCCCCACCAAAGGAAACCTACTTTGAACGGACCTGCAAGAAGACGAAACCGTCCGAAGGGGAATCCTAGGAACCCCAAACCAACTCGACCCTCCACTCAGGGTGCTATGCAGCATGTGCGAGCCAATGCCCATGTTGGGCCGTTGGACACCTTTGGAGGCTGGCGTTCCTTGATCGAGCCATAGGTAACATCTTACTGGCTGACAAATATCAACAGTCATGTTTAAGAGAAATGACTCAGAACCGTACCAAGAGACTCACACTAGGGGTGCACAAATCATAGGCTGCATGTGTCCAGAAATCCTTGGTCCTTGGCTCAAATCTAGGTTACACCAACAACATGTTTTCAGATTATGGTGCACATTTCGTCAAGGTGCAGCATGGTCATTTTAAACCCAATATGTAATATGTGGGGTTGCCTCTACATTGAATTGGCAACCCCTTGTTGCATGGTTCCTGTTCAAGAGGTCCGGTAAACATTGGATGATCATTGGTTGGAAAACCACTAAGAATATATTTCCCACTAAACGGAACAATCACGGTTGAAGGGAAACCAAAAGTGAATCTTCTGCTTTCATTCAGCTTACAAACCAAGGTGCTGAAAGAGCTCGGTCACCCCGCTCTTGCCCACTCGCTTCTCAGCCGATGTGGCGCATGGTCAACCAAACCACCAGTGGCAACCCAACAATCTGGGGTTCTTCTGTTTGGCAGTTGGGTCATAATCAAAACCTGGTGTGACAGTATCAAAATTCCTGCAACGAGTCACAGCCGGGCGGATATCCGCACCAAGCCTTCTGGTTGGGACTGTCCAACCTTGACTTACCCAGGCTTTGTTTGTCAAACGCGTTTCAAGGGAAGCTTCTCAAAAGGTGAGAGGGGCACCAGTCTGGGGACGTTTCGTAACTGGGACGTTTACGGACCTGAGTTCCTAAAGACGAAGCCACTCTACTGGGTCACTGTACCGGTGTTGACATTCTGGTTAGATGGAAAAATAAAGTAAAGGCAAAAGACAAAAGGAGAAACAAGTAAGCTAAGTCTGGCAACGTACTTAGGAAAACAAGAAACAAAGAGATGCCATTTGGAAGTCCTGGTCCTGTCTTAGATTGGACCGCCCACAAGCCCAGCAGGAGCAACTTCGGGCAACTGCAGTCCTCTGAGCCCCGGGCAAGCTTGGCCGGGGAAATGGAACACACAGTCGATTCTCTAGATGCTGCAGGTGGTGAACTGCCAAATCCTGCAAATTGAAATAGCTCGTGGTTGGTTTGCTTGCAGTTTTCTTGCTATATTGGGGAAATCCATCCCCAATGAGCCCCAACGGTACTGGAGAGCTTGAAACTTGACAAGGCGCTCTTGGAACCAAAACCCCTCTCCCCCCCAGGAAATGTCTTAGAAGGCGTCTGATCAAAGGGTTCTGAGGATTCTTAGTGTCTCTTCTGATCTTTTCGCATCTTGCTGACTGACATATTTGCTGAAGGGAATTCTTCGTCCCTCACAAGTCTTCAATGGATTCAACCGACCCCGTTTTGCAGCTGGGCAACTGGACATTTCAGGGTGAGTCCCAATCCATAGCTGCGAAGCGGCGAATTAGGTGGTCTTCGTGGAGACTAACGTTCGACGACACAAATCATAGGATTGCAACCTCCTCTTCCCCAAGAATCAGACCCTAGGCCCCATGAAGGCTTATGTAAGGAAAGCTAGGGGAAGGCGGAAAGGGGAAGGACGTTGGGTCTCATGAACCCACGGACTTATCTTATCCACCTCGCACAGCTTGAGCAGTTGCCAATCCCAGCGCGCAATTCCGGCGCGACACGTGGCAATCAGGCTTGCGCTGAGAGCCGGTCACGGGACTAGTGCCGTGGCAAGAGGCGAACAACGGATAAACTTGTCCTTCAAGGATGCTCCAATTTGGTAGGATATGTTTTCATCACGTAGACTATCAACCTTTTGCCAGGCCTGAAAAATATTCGAGCCCTCGCCTCAATGATTCCGCCGGCACAGGTTGCATCGACATTCATCTCTGTGGCGGTATACGATACGAATCAGTGGCAGCGCCTGGCTCTTGTTGAAAATGACAACCTCTGGGAAATCCACCTGGGGGCTTGAAAGAGCTCGTTTCCCCCAGCCCCCCCCACCGTTTTTGGCTGGGTTGTCCAATCCGAAGCATGATCCGTATGGGCAAAAACACGGCAAAAGGCTAAATCCATGCGTAGCACCAAGGCAAGGTTGCGGACTGCACTTGAACAGCATCGCTATGTTTGACAACCCCCACCGCTCCGCCCAAGCTCTTGGTGAGCGCACAAATGGAGTGGTACTGCTGGTCCAAAGTGGACTGGGCATCCTGTCCAACATGCGGACAACCGCGGTCCGCCGGAAAAGGGTTGCCCAGCAGAACTCTGGCCATAAGTATGCACTGCTCCTCAGTGTTTGCTGAAAGTCTCACTTGCCTTGTGGCAAGGGAAAGGGGCTCGCATTGCGGTCTATGTCTATTTCAAAGAGGTCCCCGGCCCTCCCCCAAGAAAAAAAACAAACGGAGTCCATGGCAACTGGAACGTGTCCAATAGCTTCAACAATTTTGACGGAGCTGTCCAAAAGCCCGAAAGAAAAGGTCGTCGTTTCATATTGGAGGGTATTGCGCATCTGGAGGCATTTGGGACCCTTGCTAGTCTAGTTGCCGCCCGTGCACCGAGACTGACCGAACAGGCCAACACTTTACAAAATCATTTTAGGCCAACTCGACCAAGGCTCGTTGTGGTCGTTCGCCTGGGCATATAGGTCGCACTTGGATGCTGCCGGAGCAAAGTAGCTACCCTTTCCAAACATCATTCCTGCAGCTGAGCCTGCGTGCCTCCAGTCGAAGCCACCCTCGATGATTTTCGGAACCGTGTCCCACTTGCTGCCATGAAAAAGAAAGTATTCGTTGCAGTCCTTGTCTCCAACGGCTGGCCGCAAAGCATAATCCATTGAGCACGGTACTACCGTGACGTCCTGTCGCGCTATCATCTTTCTTCGTTCGATAAATCCGCGGACTTTGGTCTTTGGCAGTGGTAGCGCGCAAATACGAACAACGTCTAGACGAGGAGGGTCGCACCACTCGGAGCTACGGTAATCAAGCCTGTGGGATTGCAGTGATCCTTGAAAAACGGACTCAATCAACCTGAAGTCAGGGCTGTCAGTGGGAAACTCGATTTCCTGGCCAGTCAGTTCCCGAGGAACCTCTTGCCACGGCCCAAGCATGGCCTGCAAGCGCCAGCTGATGTTTCCCACTTGGGCCGCGCTTGTGATGCGCTGCACCAAGGACGCAGCCAGCTGAGAGACGTCCGTGTCCTTGCCAGATTCCTCCTGGCGAAGGAGCTGAAGCCAGGGTCGAGCATGTCCATGAAGCCAGGCTCGAGCATCTGCCTCAGCAGCCTGCCTCGCCAAGCCGATGCCAGCGAGGTCTCGCTGCTTCTTCTGCTTTCGCCTCAGCGACCCAGAGTCGCCGTGGGCAACCGGTAGGCCAAGGGCGCCCTGTGATCAAGCGATTTAATATCGGGTTGGGGCAGGGACATCATCGTTGGAGGAAGGAAGCGCGTTTGACGACCTAATGGAAGGCCATTTTGTAGCTTGGCGTCCTTATAGAGAAAAAATGGCCCACACAAGGAATCAGTAAATCAGAGACAAGACCACGGAGATAAATGCAACAAGACCGATTTGATGATCCAAACATTCGCGGAAGGCGATTATTGAGCAGAATGATGGTTAAACCAAACCGGGCATCCAAACCTACTCCGCAAATTCACTTTGAACCTTGAAACAGGGCCCAAGAGAAGGTTCAAAGAACGAGGGGGTTGTGTGGTCAGGACGATCAGGAAACTGTTCTCGCCCAGCTTCTTTGCCCTTTCGTCTTTCTCAGCTGCCTGGATCCGTTCATCCAGCTGCTGCGTGTGCTGCTGCAGCACCTGGTTTGCAGCCTCCGCCGCCTCTGCACGAGACTCCATGTGTCGCAGGCTCTCCTCGTACCTGAAACGTCTTGTTTATAAGCACATCTTAGCCACCTTTGCTTAAACAGCCGCATTTGGGCTGTTTACACAAGTTTTGCCCAACCCTGCTGGTGGGCTGTCTGTTCTTAGTGGTTTGATCCTCTGTTGAACGTTGAACTTTTAGTAGGACATGTCATGAATCCTTCGAAACTCTAAAAGTCTGGAAGTCCAAGCGAATACCCCGTTATTTGCAACACCCCGAATCACAAACTAAACAAGCACAAACAACTCGACATGCCAAACACAGTGAGGGCCACTGTGAAATGATGGCTTCCTCCTTGGATTTCTCCGCTGCCTTCTGCATGTTCTGTTCTTGCATCAGTTGCTGCACACGCTGCTGCAACCGCTGGTTCTCGTCCTCGACATCCCTTGCATGGGCTTCCAGGTTCCGCAGTCTCTCCTCATACCTGTTGGCTCCATGCGTTTGGCACGGATTCGAAGTTCGGCCCGCAAAAGGGAAACTAAAGGAATAGCGCAAACGCGGCTTTTCCCAGACCTCCAGTAGCCATTGGAGAAAAGGCCTTCCGTTTTTGGGTAGCCTGCCATGTGCTTTCAGAACTCCTGGTAGCTGCGAAAGGCTCCCTCTCCTAGAGCAAATTTGGACACCCGGCTCCTTGGCCCTCCAACCACCAGCTAGTAGCTGACTAAGGGAATCTGGGTTTTCTTCCCTTGTGTCGGGTCTTGGTCATCTTTCAACAGCTTGAAGGACCTCTATGGCTCCTAGTGCGAGAGACAAACAAAAAACACGCAAACGGGCACGAATCGGACAATAAAAACACCCGAGTAACATAGCATTCGTGAAAGGATACTTGAAGATCATTGTAGAAAATTCCTATGAGGTGTGTGTGTGTGTGCTACTGGGAATGAGGGTAAGAAACCACCCCCCTTTGGATTTGGGAAAGTTGAAAGATGCCAAAGGAGCCATGGTTTCTTCTCTTCGCCAGGCTGAGAAAAACACAAGTGCGAAGCACGCGTTTCGTATTCATGGCTCGCAAATGGAGCCTGGCCACCAAAAAGGAGGTCTCTAGAGGACAGGGATCGAATCAACCCGTGAATCTGCTCTCAACCTCAAAAAACAATCGGGAGAATCGACATTTGGATCCCGCATCCAAAGTGTCCTCATCCAATGTTTGTTACTTGGAATGCATTTTTCCCAACTCATCAAGTCTGCAACTCAGGCAAGCTGCCTGTTAGCTTGCTGCCGTCGCTCCACCTTTCTCTCTTTGCCCGTGCTTGCATTCACTTGGATCTTCTCATCCTGATCTGCCCAGTTGACGATCTGGCCAGAAAAGCAACAAAAATATTAGAATGATGAACAGCGGCTTTCTGTCATGTGAGAGATTGCGCGGCGTGCTATCCGAAAGCAGCTTTTCGTGGCGCTGGCTGCAATAACAAGCGGTTTTAAGTTGACGATGCCATTCTTTCCAACCCCAAACCCTGTTTGTTGACCTCCATTTCAGTTCTGGCTTGCGGGGGGGGAAATTCAGCAGGGTCCCGTTTCAAGGCCAAGGTTTGCCAACTCAACGGGTAAGGCTCCAGGTTCACGTGGTACTGATACAGCCCCGATTCCAGCTTAACAACTCCTTGTCCATTTCCCTGCTGCCAATGGGCCCATGCGCGCTCAAGCTTCTCATTGGCCTCATCCTCACTTGCCCAAAGATCAGGAAATCATGGGCGAGTTTTTTTATAAATCAGCTTTAACCGTGAGTTTGATTCTGGTCCCAATTTAGTGCGATCGGTTCAAAAGGGATGCCAGGTTTGCATTATTTTCTAGTAGTGGACCAAAAAGGGAGCGCCAAAAAGTCAAATGGTCGACTTGCAAGTGAGCATCAGGAAAAGGCTGGAACTTTGACGGCGCTACCTGTCGGGTTGTCAACAAGGGGGAGGGGGACTTACCTGCCTCAGGCTAGTTCACGTTGTTGGCGACGAATTGTTCAACCGCCCAGAAAAGTGGCCCTTTTGAGCGGCCCCCTTTTAAAGGTGGCGCGACAGCGCGCTTGTAAGGGCCATGCAGTGCTTCCAGGCGCACCGCTTTAGGGGAACGGCTAGGGAATCCACCATATTGTTTGTGTGTGATTGTTATGGTGACTTTGAATTTGGTGTCGTGCTTATGTCCACCAACCGATTGTGAGGAGGGCTTCCCTAGAAAACCATGGCCATGTGGAAAGCCTTCAATTCCTTTGTTGGGTTGGCTAGTGATTACTGCCTTGCCTTGACGGGACCCCATGTCCTTTCTGGAGGAGCGGGTTGCCTTGGAACTCTATTGCTAAAATAAGGTTCACACAAGGCACAACTGCAGTCAGGCCAAAGCGAGGCCAAACAAGGCCACCTGTTGGTCAACCCCGCACCTCAAAGTACCAAGCGAAGCTTTGAACCATTGCGCCTGGCTGTGGCTGTTAGACCGAAGCACCAACGCCTAAAGCCCAAGTCACCGATGGGCGAGACTTGTCACAGCTTTGGGCCAAATGCCTTCCGAAGATTGAGCGGTTTGGAAGCAACTCCGTCAGATGTGGGTGTGTCGGCGCAAAACGGAGGCGGCAAAGTGCCTTTTCGCTTCACGTTTACCTCACTTCCTGAGTGGATTGGCCAAACAAAGTCCATTTTTCTTGTTTACCAAACACGGTCTTCCCAAAGAGTTTAAAGTCCAGGAACTCAGGGAGTGAGTTCCATCTAAGCGAACAAAGTGGTTCTCCGGCCTGAAATGGCAGGGGCGTTTGAAGCTGGCTCCTTCCAAACTCCCAGAACCTTCCAGCCACTCCAACTGGGGGAAACCGCCCTGTCCGATGCCCAGTGGAATGGGTGTGTCTCGTTACAGCCTCGAACAAGATGAGAACCCCCAAACACCCCGGTATGCGGAAGGATCAAACAATTGGCAAACCCAAATCGAAGTGGAAATCAATGGATGGAAACCAATGGATGGACCCTTTAGTCTTCCCATTTTCTTTCCAGATGGTAATGGGTTGAACCCAACTGGACATGGACCCTCTATTTAAGCTCAAACCAGATGCAGCTGCAAGTTTGGCGGCCCACTTTGTATCTTGGACATGGTTCGACACCTGCCTATAATATGCCTTTTTGTAGGGGACACCGCAAAATGGTGGTCTCCCTTCGGTTTCCCTTTAAGAAAGGCCCAAACGGGTACCCTCACCAAGTGACAGAAACTTAAAAATCCAGCCACGTCACCAGGGGTCGGTGCCCACCAGCGATGATCCTCGGCACATGGCCAGGTTCTGCTACTGCGGATCTATGGACGAAATCCGTTTGCACCACTAAAACTCCATGGTTGCAACCATTAATCCGTTGCTGGTTGACGGGGAATCATATCATTCCAGGGATTCTGAACTGTGGTGCAGGATTTCTAGGGCCTTCCAAAGATCTTGCTGGTTGAGGGCCGACAACGAACTGATGTTGAAAGGGGTAAAGTACAAGTATCAACTGAGAACCCGGTAGACAGAATCTGCAGTTTTGACCCTAGAGTCAGAGGCGCATAGGCTTATGTATAGACTCAGTCTATGTGGCCTGGTAAAACTTACTCCGCAGGAAATAACAGGTGAGTGGTGGTGTCAATTCCCTGTAAACTGGAATAGACATGTTGCTTGAGTGGAAAAAAAACTCTCAGGTGATGAATCATGTAGGCCACGAAACAAAGAACTGGAAAACCAAAGGAGGTGAAGGTGGGTTCGCTGCTGGAGGAAAACTCCTCACCAGGAAATCCACGTGGCGGTTTTCCACCATGAGTTAGCCACTCAAACGGGGTGTGCTTGCGCGTGCGCGCCAGCCAAAAGGGGTCCACTTACCCTCCAAAGGAACCACCGGTTCAAATCGCAGCATAAACAACCGAACGACTCCAATATTGGGACACATTGACCTGCGAAGAAAAAGCTAAAACAAATCAGCCTGAGCAACCAAAGACCAGCAAAAGTGTTGACTAAATGGACACGTTGATTGGGGGGGACCTACATTCAAGTGTTGGGACTATCCATTTTATATGCTGTTCACATGTCCACAATCACATATGTTTAAACCACCATCCCCCGGGCTTAAACATGTCTAAACAAGGGGGTGACCCGGCAACTGAACCCCCCGTTTGTGGTTCTCTAGGGGATCCACGGAGCCAAAACAAACTACACTGAGCACCCAAGAGGAGTGCTGTAAACATGGTGGCTCAACAGCAGAGTTCCCTAAAAGTCCTTTTACATATCAAACCCAACAAAAAAAAGGCCTTCCTTTCGGTTTCCCTGAAAGCCAAACAAACAAGGGGTCCGCTTGGCCTCAAAAAAAGAGAGCCACCTCTTGATGCTCTCTCTGGTTTTCTATTCGAGTGAGCAAGCAACCTTAAATGGCCTCGGGTCTGTTGCGACAGTGCAGGGACCCCCTACTCACCTTAAACCGGCCCAAAATCCAAAACCATTGGGTCTGAGGGTACCCCTTTTTTGGGTGGTAAAGGGAAACCAAAAGGAAGACCGGTTGGCCATGCTCGGGGAGGGTGGAGGAAACCCTGTCAGGGGTCACATTGTTAATGGGTGTGTCAGAATGGCTAGTTTGTTGTTGAAGGTACCCCTGTGTTAAAGATGCATCTTCATCCAACTCCTGTGCATGGAAATGTTTCCTGGCTGCTCATGACATTGAATGCTTAAGTGCTACCAACAATCCACCTCACAACCCTTAAAACGCATGGCTGTCGTTTGGCTCAGGCTTAATTTATGGCATCCCTCAATTGTGACCCTCCTGATGAACTACATGAGTCCCTCCACTAAAAGGAAAACCACCGTTTTGGGGGTGTCCCCTAAAAAATCACACACACACACAAACCCAGTGGATCCATTTACCTGCATAGGCACCACTCCAAAAAAGCATCAACAAACAAGACAATAGCTGAGGTTACCCACAAGGGCAGCCTGGGATCCACTGGGCAAATCTTCCCGGGAGCCCTGAGGGCAACCTTCCGCCACGGCTCCAGGGCCGCTCCTTGCGGTTGGCGTTGGCTGCCTTCAGATCCGCCTCGAGCCAGGAGAGGTATTCGCCTTCGCGGAAAGGACGGGAAGGTGGGCTGGAGGTCTTCCGAGGGAGGCGCCAGGAGATCGCCGCAGAGTGGCTTTTTTCTGTTTTTCTTTTTTTTTACGATAATATTGTGTGATTTGTTGGTGATTTGTGTTGTTTGACTGGAATCATGTTGAAACTGGGGTGGTTGCCCTTTCACCTACCACTTAGGGGGTGACTTTGACAATGGTCAACTGGTAAACATACTGCGGCCAGTTTAACCCTCACCCCCACTCGATGTCCATGGCAAAGAAAGGCTTTAGAGGGTTGCGGCGGAAGGGATGCAGCTCACTGGAGGTCCGGGTTTAAATTAACTGACTTCCGTTTTGGGATCCCCTCATAAGCCATCAAGTTAAAACAAGCCCAGGTGGTATCCCAACAGCCCCGGAACCCCCTGGAACCGAACCTTCCGAACCCTCCCAGAAAGCTGCTCCAAACCGCCCAGAGCCCATCTGGGCGGAATCCAAATCCATAGCTTTTAGCTGTCGGGAAAGGATTTCACCAGGTGGATTCGGGGCAGGAAAGTATAGCTACAGTCATCGACAGGCCGATTGATGTTTGTTTCTACCATGCTTTTAAAGGCTCATAGGGCCTTTTCACTGCCCCATAAAACCCGGAAGGGGAACCACCAACTATAATAATTTATAATGGCAAGCAGTGCTCCTATCGTTCAACACTACCCTTTGGCAAGATTAATGGAAATGTGTGTCCAAAAAGTCCAGGCCTTTGAGGTCACAAGACGTGCGTTTCAAGGGGGCTACGGGTTCTGGACACGAGGATTGGAACGGGGTCGCGGAGTACGATTGAACCAATTCACCGTGATAGGGGACTCAGGAACGAGGGAACACTCTTAAGAAAACCAAACATCTTGGAAGACTTTAACTGATCTTGAGACATCTGCCTTGAAGCACAATGTTGATTTTGACACATTTGAACAAGATAGGCCCTCTCAAACTGCGCGATGCATTCGCGTCAAGTGTTTCATTGTCTTGATGTACACTACGCACATGTTTGCGCAGTGCAGAAGACACGAACACAACGCAACACACAAGCCAACAACATGCTTCTGCTTTTCGGAACCGTTGTTTCCACATGGAAAGACCACTTGGTCCCTTGGTACACTCTGGGATGGTAGACTCTTGGACCCCGAAAGCAGCCAACAAAACATCCGCGCAAATTGCTGGCTTTACCTTCCCTTTAAACAAACTGAAAAGGGTACCCTCAACAAAGGCGAGCCACCCATACACCTCGCGGAGATTTCGGCATTCGGTTCACCACAGCCTTCAGAGGGTGCAGCCAACCATCGATTGAAATATGGGTCTATCACAAAGGGGAACCTTCCATTTGATGTCTATTGACACCGCTCCCCCGAGAAGAATCGACACGCCATGTTTAAACCACCATTGTTTGAACTACCTTCTGTTGGGGAGGATTTTCCCTCGTGGTTGGGATCTAGCTTAGTGACTTTGTGTTTTAATATCTTCCTTAACCATGAGTTTGAGTGGATATGTAAAAATGTCTAAGCTGTTCCTTTGCCACTAAGAAGGTCGTCCCAAGAAGCTGTTCGTTTGGGGCCCTTAAACTGCAAGGTCAAGTGGAGGTCAAAGAAAACAAGCTGGGGTCAAAGCTGTTCTTGGGCCCATAAACTGCATGGAGGTCAACCAAAACAAGCTTGGGGTTCCATTCCATCCCTTCCCCTCGTGTTTCAGCACCGCACCATCAGCACCGAAGTGTCCCGCTTTCAGCCAGGAGAAGTGCCCGTCACCTCGAAAAGGCGAGGACAAAAAGCTGACGCCAGCGTTTGCTGCATTGGACTTTCATAAAATTGGGTTTGCTTTGAACACATGAGCATGCGCTTTTTTGAGGCTACCCTTTTGTTTGTTGTTTTTATGTTTGTTTGTTTTTTTGGGGGGAAGGTTTGTCAAAAGTAGGGGCCCTTTTGGGTATCCTGTTTAAAATGCGGCAAAAGGCGGCACCAGGTCCTGAAATGGTCCGTATCTTTTGACAACACCCACATGAGTATGTGCATTTTGAGGCTACCCTGTTTGGCAGCGTTTTGAAAAGAGAATCCAAAGGGGAAGCGGACATCTGGCATGGGGGTCCGCTAGTTTGACGCATACCGAATTCGTAAAATCCCAGTGGGTGCTCCCCACCGAGAGCTTGACCTCTTGAACCCCTTGTGTGCATCAAACGCGGATGAATCCGGGCTTCATGTGAGTTCTAGTGGGAACCCGGTATTCAAAGGGAATCTACCCAAACTCCTAAGAACAAAAATCCGGATAACGCCTATGGCGACTTGCCGGAAATGGGTGTGCCGCAAAAAAAGGGAACTCCCAAGGCCCCAAAGTGGTGGTTGCCCCTTTGGTTTCCATTTGACGCAATTAAAACAAGGCGAACCCAAAAAAGGAAGTTCCCAGTCAGGAACCATTTTCAGTAAACTTGTTTTGCCCCAGGCGAGTTGCCTTGCCTTGCTGGGCGTGTAAGGGCCTGAGTTTTGGAAACGAAACTGTCACCGATGTTTTGGTGGGTTCAAGAAAAGAAGAAGGGGGGTTAAGGTGGACCCCGGATCTAAGTACGTCCTATTCGGGTGGGTGGGGGGGGGCCTCCAAAAGTGGTCTGAATCCAAGCACTAAGCATAGGCAGTGCCCCGCCCAGGCCCTGAGTTCATGAAACTGTCTACGCTTGAAGGCTTCATGGGGGTCGGTCCCGCAATGGACCCAGGGTGGTTTCCCCTTGTCCCTTCAAATCCAAGAAGGGAGAACCTCAAAAGACAACCCATGGTTCCGAGCGAACTTGCCAAGAAGAAGCAACGACTCACTTCCGTTGGATCAGACAACCAAAGTCTAAGCTTGTTGTTTGCCATTAACATGACCTTCCCAGAGAGTACAAAGTCCAAACTTGGGAGGTGAGTTGAGTCACAATCAAAACCCGGTATTAAAATGGTCGACCCAGACCCATGTAGAGAACTAAAAAGGCGGCCGCAGCTAATATGGTTGGGACTGTCCCTTGCTAACCTTCATCTACCCAGGTTACCCAGGTTTTGATTGTGGCTCAGTTGACTTTCCAACCACAACATGATGACAGCTGGAGTTCCAAAAGCAAGAATCACCCGACTTGATCATCTACGGCGTTCATATCCAAGGGCAATCTTTCAAGTTCCGAAAATGTAAAGTCCAAACACCTCCACTCCCTCCAAAAACCATGGAAGCTCACAGGAGGGTGTAAGACCACTTTCACATGAGTCAATGAGGGTAAACAAGAAACCGGCAACAATTTTCCCAGAGATTCCCAGGATTGCTTACGCATTTATCTTATATCTGCTTTCAATTCTGCTTCTAAATTTCATGTCTTTCCCCGGCCGGCCCCTTCCGGTTTCGGACTTTTGTTTAGCTTTTCCGGCCTGTGGACGTCTCCTCAGCGCCCGGAAAGTCAGTCTCCGTGTTGATGGAGATGAAGTGGACCAGGCCCACCTCGTAAAAATATGGTGGCCACCTTCCCAGGCTCAAATCTATTGCATGTCCCATCGCATCCTGCCTCAGGGTGCACCCAAAACCAGGTAAAATCATGTAAAGAACCAAGAGGGCGGATATCCGCACCCAGCTATGGTTGGGACTATCCCCTGCGACCCATCCTATGACACCTTGATTGATTGTGGCTCAAATGTAAGCCACCTCAGTATAGGTTGTAAGGCAATACTGGGGATAGACACAATCTACGCCAGCAACTGGTGCAGGTTCTTGTTCACAGCGCGTAGGTATGTAAGCTTATACGTAACCTCCAAACCTCCAACAGCCAAAACTGAAGATGTACCTTCATTTTCCTAAGCCCCCTGGGAAAGACATAGTTCCAGGAGTGATAGATGCCCTTTAAGACCAACAGTTAAAAGGGGGAAATAATAATTGCAAAACATAGTTTCAGCAAATGGAAGCTACCTTTGCCGTGACTTAAGAGACACGTCCGCTTTCTTTTCCGCGCACGGACCATGGATTCCCATGGCTTCATGGAATATAGGCGCATAGTGACCTCAAAACGAAACGGGGTGGAATGTTGGCTGAAAGGAAACAACACGGAGGCCTCGTCTTGTTTGAGTTTAGCCCCTTTTCTTGTGAGTGTAAGGACAACCAAAAGGAACTTCTCCATTTTGGGAGTCCCCCCCCAAAAAAAAAACACCCACTCCCACAAGGACTTCTGAGATGCTCATTTTGCTCATCTCAGATGCCCAGTGGCCCTGGGAAAAAAAGGGCATCCTTTTTTGGCTGGTTGACTTAGGGCACTGGGCAATTGGGTCACTAGGAATCCAGTTCAATCACTGTCACGTCTCTGAAGCCGAGCAGCGTTGAAGCTATACCACATGTTGGCTCGGCCCTTGCTGACCTGCGACGGCATCTTCCAGCGGTGGTTGTACCTAGGTCGCCGAAGCATGGGGCAGTTTTGTTTTTTAAAACACAGTCACCAAACTGGGCTGCCGTCAGATCCCCCGCTAAAAGTTTTCAACTCTTAGTGGGTTAAATGGAAACTACCACTAAACACTAAACAGCTAAAAGGCCAAGTCAAGGGGATGGCTGGGAGCCACCAAGTAAAGAATGAAGTTTGGGAGATACCTTCGGCGGTTCCATGGAAGCTCGCACTTCCTTGGAATCGCCGGGGGGCTGCCCTTTGGCTTCCCCTGGAAACCCCTCGACGCCCCCCGAACGCGCAAGCGACGAATGCCGAACCAGCGGCGCAGTGAAGTTCATGAGCGCCCGCCCGAGGAAGGGGTCCACGATCTTAGCCCGGGTGTCCCAGTCTCAAAATAGGCGGACCCCCCGCTAGAAGCAACCGATGGGCCCGGGATGGGCCGGGGTTCCCGTGATTTCCCCTTTAAACCCAAACTTCGAACAGAGTGGCCTCGCCAAAAAGAAACGACGCCCTTTTTGGTGGTTGCAACTGAACCAACCAAGCGTGGGCTTTTCTTGGCCAAAGGGCCCCAAATATCGCCGATGTTCATCGAGCTTGCTTTGGGCGTGCCAAGAACATGTTCCTCGAAAAGGGCCGGGCGTATTTGGCATTCGGCAACTGCCAATTGTTCGTTTGATTCGGGTGGCTCCGGGTCGGGATGGGTTGAGTTCGAACACAAATGCGATCAGGGTGAATGAGGGTGGCTTAAGAACAGCTATAATCATAGTCGTGCCTTTCCCATCCAGCTCTTGAACTTCATAGCCAGCCACGTATGAAGCACTGGGTCGCCTTGGTTACGGGAAATGGGAGAATCAGCCACCAAGAAAACCCAACACGGCAAGTTCCTGAAAGTTCAAACAAGCATCTACAATGTGTGGCAACATACTCTCCATTTCTGGGTTGAAGAGACCTGATGGAAATGCTAGTCTGGGAACATTGCGCAAATCGTGCCCGCGGCTGAACAACATCAAGCATTTGCGGACAAGGAAACTCGGGTCCTGTCCTGTAGAGGGCGCTTGCGGTGAGTGGAGCCGCATGTGAACTGATGTGAATAAGTGTCCCGGGCCTACGCCCTCGCCAAACGCACTGCTACTGTGGACTGTGGACGAAATTTTGCACCACCTAAGAAACCCTTCAATTCTCCTGCATGCAAAAATGAACACTGGCTTCCCATGGTGCAGGATTTTGTCCATCCACAGTATGAATCAAGGACTGACTCTAGGAAAATATATACACATGAACCTGCGCTTGTTGTAGCTCGACAATCTGAAATCAACAAATATGGGTATGTGTTTTTTTGACGTGGCCGTGCCGGGAGGTTGGCATAAGGGGTATGAATCGCAGGTATGGTTCGGGGTATGGCTCGGGGGTATGATTCGGGGTATGGCTCGCGCGCCTCTGAACTCTTGCTTTGTGGCTTTGGACACTGCAAAGCTCCCGTGCGCTGGCAACTGGATAGCCGTGAGAATTTGGACCGCTTAGTTGCTACAAGCCAGCCTGGGGCGCTTGTGAGTGGCCTGAACTAGACAGCTGCCACTCTGCGTGAGTGGGTTAGCGAAAGCTGCTGCGCTCGGTGGAAGGCGCAAAGCCACTGCCTGAGGCGAATGTCATGGCCACCTCCACTTGGAGTTCAAGCGACCCGCGTGCTCACAGACCCAAGCAAGCGTTGCTTAAGGGGAAGCGCCGCTGCCCAGTCAGGCCCGCCACCCGCAAACCAGCGTAAGGGCAAAACAGCGTGACATCCTCAAACGGCAGCCGCGCAGAGGCTAGTGGGCCTCTCACAGGTGGTGTACCGTGTCGCGCCTGATACATCGCAGTAAGCCTTCCGAACCCACCTTCTGGCGAACTTCCGCGAAAAGAGCCGCGAGCTGGTTCCTGCAGTGCTTCTCTTTGAGTTTCGTGTCTTCTGAAGATTTGGGCGGCATAGCTTCGCTAGTGCTGCCCAGAGCGCAAGAGGCTCTTGGCTGCAAATGGCAGCAGAAGGGTATGAATCGGGGTATGAATCGGGTATGAATCGGGGTATGAATCGGGGGACATATTTTTTCGACCGGAAAGACACCAAGAGTACCCCAGGAGCACAAAGACAGCTTGTGTTTCACTGCGACAGTGGCCCAGGACAGACAGCTGTTTCCACCCCGCCGGACAGACTGCAGGAAGCAAGCTCCAAGTTTCAAGCTCAGCAGCGGCACCCCCCGCCACAGCGCCTTGCAAGTCCCAGCGTCTTACGTCAAGCTGCACCCCCCCACCACGGATGCTACAGACAACTCCAGTACCAGGACATCCGCAGGATTGCTCTATAACTCCATCATGGATCACATGCAAATGCCACAGTTCTTGCAAGTTCTTTTTTTGTTTTTTAAGGGGTATGACTCGGGGTATGGCTCGGGGGTATGGTTCGGGGTATGATTCGGGGGTATGGCTCGCCCAAGCCCCACCTCCCACGAAGACTAAAGAACTGACACGGTAAACAACACAGACCCATATGTAAGCAAAGGGACCTTTATCATGGGTGCCCTCGTTTTCCCAGGCAAGTGCGACCGAGCCCGTATTTCAACCCCTATCTAAACATCCTCAGGTAGAGTCTCCTCAAACAGATTCACGAACAATTTCAACTTGTCCCACACCACCAGGGTATTACTTGGCCCTTTGCAGGAAACAACGCATAGCAGCGCTTGTGAGACAGAGCGCTGTTTGAATTTCAAAACTGTTGTTGAAACTCCCTTCCGCACCTCTTTTCTTCCGGCCGGGTGAGACTGCATGACCAAATCGCACGTAGCTCCGCCTTGACTTGCTTGTTCTTCGAACGAGGCATGAGAAGAAGTCCGCCAACTGTTGCTGCCGAATTGGGAACTACTTATCACAACCACTTGTTGCATGTTAGCAGAAAACAAGATGTGGGATGGCTCATACTTACCTCAAAATCCCCTCAAACAGGACCAGCAAAATGCAACACATGCGTCTGATCATGTCACAAACAGTAGAATCAGTTTCTGCGCGTCACCTTCCTCACCGGAAAACTACAGGGTGGCAGCATGAAAGGATCTCTCCCCCGAGTTGTCTGGCGCACCGATGTCTACCTCAGTTTTGGCCTCAACTCAACATCGTAGTCTTAGAATCTGGTCCAGATTCTGCGAAATTATCAAGCGAGCTTCACGTTGGAGCTTCCACGTCCCGTTCAATTTAGGGGTAGTCGTCCATTTTAGGGCGGGTCACCAGAACAAACACCATAGCCAGGTTTGTTGAAAGCCAACATTCTACTATCTTTGGGGTTGTCTTCAAATAGGGCACCTGCCAAATAATTGGTTTCCCTTCGGTTTCCCTTTTCAACCACCCATTTTTCGGCCGCCATCAAAAAACAAGACACGCCCTTTGTCGGGTTTCAGGGGAAGCTGGATACAGCGACACAGCATGACGCAGCGCCTGACTTTCTCAGAACAAGCAAGTCGACAGGGCTGCTCCCAAGACCCCGTTTCACATTTTTTTGCCCAGACCTCCAGTTGGGAAAAAGGGCAAGCCAATTTTCAGGCGCTTGATATGAAAAGGGATACACTTTCTACGGAAAAGGAAGCAAGGAAATGCGTGGTCTGGAGGTCTTGGTTTAAGCCTAGGTGTGCTCTTGGACAAATACATGGCACCGTCAAATGATTAGAACACAACCAAAGCCGAAATCCATCTATGTTCAACCAAACTGAAACAAACAAATATCTATCAGTTGGAGGAATGGCAGGAGCAACCCTAGGCTTCCAAGAAGACCTGCAGAGTCAGCTTGGTCGGCAGCATGGGGTCTGTCACAATGAGGTCCTCCCCTTCGATGAAGACGGGGGGGTCCGCTTGCGTCAGCTCCTGTCCGACGAATCCAACGGTCCTCTTCGAAGGTCGGTGCAGACTTTGCACTGGTTTTGGGTCTCCCGACCTTTGAACAAGGGCATGCTCAACAACACACACTCATCTGGGCGTGTCTTTATTGAGGGTACCCCTTTATGATTTCAAAGGAAATCGACAAGGACACCACAATTTTGGGGGTCTCCTAAAGAACACGCACCCATGTAGTGTGGAAAAGGACATAAAGCACAAAAAAGTGTACCCTCAAGCGCCCAATCGAATATGGAGGCTCCACTGATTGGTTGATCTACAAAGGAGGGCTCATGACCAGGACCAATTCAAGATTCCTCCAATGGACCCATATGAGCCCCGGTCAAAGCACCTTTGAGGGGGGTCGTGGTCATGAATCTCTTGAAGGAACCCTAACAATGCTTCTCTAAATCCCCCCTGTCAAAGGCTGAATGTACACGTCAATATATGAACACCTGGTATGAACCTCTAGTTTATGGAATAGCTATCCGTTAGTTGGGGCTTAACTGTGGGACATCAGCCTCCAAAAGGGTCCAGCATGGCCGTGGGTTGCTCAACCTGCTTGCTCAACTAACGCCCGATGGGCTGGTGCGGGTGTTTCAAAGGAATTGGACCGCAGAAATTGGTGATGCAAACCGCTGGCGGACAAAGTGCTTTCCGGTCCTTCAAGGTCATCTTCAGCTTGTACTCCTCCGACCAACCCAACCAAAACTTCAAACCGCGCCACGCGAAGACCCAAAGGTTAAGGATCAAGGGCGCCTTGCTTGACATGGTGCAAGGCTACCTGGCCTTCCGCACAAAGCTTCGCCTCACCATTTCTTTTTGCAGGTGTTCCATTCGGGAATTGACAGACATTTCGTCTTTTTCGGGGGGGTTCCCAGGACCCCCTGTGAAGAACAGCGCACTGGTTTTGTCTTTGGTTTGCTTCCTTCTCTTCACCTGCGGTTCTCGTGAGAACCAATCAAAGCCAACAATGCCTGCTCTCACAACTTGATGCTTGCCTTTGACCTTCGACAATTTTGGTTGATTCTGACCCTCAAATCCCACCCGGCCCAAGAACATTGCCAAACAAAAATTGCGGGCTGAAACAACGCATTCGGGGTTTGAAATCACATCCAGCCTTTCCAGTTGGCCACTGAAGTGCCACAAGGGCCAAGATAATTAGAGGGTTGTGGGGTTCAAGACCAACCGTCATGGAAGCCAAATGCTTGAAATTATGTCGCCAATTGTCAAGCAGCTTTGAAACCTCCGTTTGGCTACGGTAAAGTTACGACAAGTCCAACTGGTTGCAGTACTTCAGGCAAGCCACGTGCTGCTCGCGGATGGGCTTAGGATTCTGCATGAAGACGATGCCACCTCAAACCCACACCAAAACAAGCCATCGCCTTTGGGCTTGAAACTCAAGCATCGTATCGACTAACAGGAAACGTGACGTTTCGGGGTCCTGGAAGAACCCCGTGCCGGTGGATCCATGGCA